GGTTTTAAGGTTGAGTGCTTTGGTGGGTAGTCGGTTAATAAGGTAAGCAGCGGTAGCAAGGGCTTCAGGCCAGAAAGATTTTGGTACATTAGATTCAAGCATAAGAGCCAGAGTCATCTCTAGTAAAATCCGATTTTTTCATTCGGCAACGCCATTTTGTTCAGAGTGTCTTGGRCAGGTGGTTTGGTGAATCATTCTTTTTGACTGAACGAATTCTTTCATAGAATTGTTCACGAATTCGCCTCCATTATCAGACCGAAGAATTTGAATGTTGGTTTTGTATTGTGTTTGAACCATAGCATGGAACATGGTAAAAAATTTTAAAACTTCGGATTTGTGTTTTAGGAAGTATACCCAAGTCATTCGTGTGCAATCGTCCACAAACAATAGGAAAAAAGGGAAACCTTACCCCCCGTTAACTTCTACCGGCCCCCAAACATCAGAATGAATCAAGGAAAAGGGTAATTTCACACGAGTGTTATTTGGTTTAAAAGTTTGTCTATGACTTTTGGCAAGAACACAAGTTTCACAACTTAAAACATTACTAGAAGGGAAAAGTTTAGGAAATAATAAATGCAAGTAGCCTGTGGACGGATGCCCCAACCTCCTATGCCATAGCCATGCTTCCCTACTTGGTGTTCCATGAGCAAGCATCACAGTACCGTGTTGAGTCACCTCATCCACATAGTATAACCCCTGTCGTTCAGTGCCACGCCCAACGATCATCCCAGTCCTAATGTCCTGTAAAATACAGAAGGTCGGGTGCATTAAAGCAGAACTGTTCAGCTCTTTTGTGACGTGGCTAATAGACAACAATTTATGAGATAGGGAAGGGACATAAAGGCAATTATGAAGTTTTAGTTTTGGAGATATCTCAATTGTCCCTCCCCCTTTAACATGCATACTTCCCCCATTTGCAGTTTGTATTTGAGATATTCTAGGTTCAGAGTTAAGGGTGATATCAGAAGACTCAAAAGTCATAGTCTCAGTGGCCCCACTATCAAAAAATCCAGGCATTATTTTGTGCCTTATGGGAATTTTGAGCCATTTTAGCATGTCTAATAGTTTGGGGTTCATTTTGTAATATTTCAAGAATTTGGGGACTAAAAAATTTAGGATTTAATAAACAAGGGTCTGAGGATAAATCCCCAAACCCTTTACCTGCATTTCCTTCGTCGTTTTTCACACCAGAGGCGGCGATGCCACCAAAGCCCCCTTGCATCTGATTGTCGTCGGTGCCGACACCCACGGCGGCAACCGCCTTCCCTTTCTCAGCCGGAACACCAGTTTTCTTGTGGCCATCATTCCACCATTCGGGGTAACCGACCAGTTTAAAACACTGATCTTTAGTGTGCTTCAACATACCACAGTGACTGCACTTTAGTTTTGATTTATCCACTCGAGATGGAGGTTTTCCAGAGGAGTCGGATCTGCGGTGTTGCCCCTTCGTGACAAGCCCTATCCCACCGGAATCTTGTGACCCGCCGGAATCGTATGACCCGCCAGCAACAAGACCGGCCGCCACGCCAGGCAGTGGGTTTTCAGTGGTGGCTCCAAGGATTCCTTGGTGAGCCATCTCTTTTCGAACAGCCGCGTAGGCCCCCTCTGCCGAGGGAAGCGGATCCCATCGAAGGATATCTCGTTTGATAGGGTCAAATCTTCGATCTAGGGCATTAAAAAATTGGAAGAGTTTTTGTTCAGACCTGATACTATTGTATGTGGCTATATCGATGGCACACTTCATTGGATTCAGATCTCTTCTCTCGATTTCACCCCATATGCCTTGCAGGGCTATCCAAAAATCTTCAAGAGGAGCCCCATTCTGCTTGATTTCATTTGCTTTGACGTGTAGGTCGAAGGTCTGTAACTTATCCTTCCCGCTACTGTACGTAACCACCAAGGCATCCCATAGGGTTTTTGCCGTGGGAAACTCGGTGAGATTGCTAGCAAGTGCAGGTTCAATGTTTTGTATTAGCCATGAGAACACGATTAAATCATCTTGTTCCCATTGCTCGTACCGGTCGTCTAATGGATCTGGCGGTGCGGGATCACCCGAAAGATGGCTTAACAAACTTGTGGATTTTCCCCCAATCGCAACTCGGATCATCCTAGCGCAAAGGGCGTAATTCTGGCTGTTAAGCTTGAGACTGATCTTCAAGCTATCGGATAAACTTTGTTTCGTGGTTTGATTCTGGTTATTGAGGGTTGTTTTGAAAAGGTTTGTAAGTTGTGCGGTAAGATCATTGTTGCTATTATTCGAGCTACCGTCTTCGGACATGGCGGCTTGGTTTTGGGTAGAAGATGAGTTTGGAATAGTTGGGTCTGGAACGTCTCACTGCTCTGATACCATAATGTCGATCAGAGGGCAGAAATTCTTTTATTGATTTGGTTTTTTTTGTGTGTGTATATTACAATACATTGGAAGCAACATTTATAGGACACAAATGACATATACAAGGAAAGGTTGTGCATGATTCTAGGCTGGAGAATGGCTGTAACAGATCGAGATTGATCCTTGAATTTGGTAGGTGATATTTGACAAATCATTTCCTTTTTTCTTTTTTCCAACAATCACAATACCCAGAGGTTCTGGTTACACGATCGAGATGTACCCTTATCACCTAATTGATCTCACGTAAATTACAATCATACTAAAATGATTGACGACACTAAAATCACCAATAGTTTACAGGTTATGGTTCGTGGAATCCCAATAGCGTGCGGGATAAAGGGTTCTATAAATGCTATGTTTCTATGTCTGAAGATTATGCTGTAGTTTAATTGTTGGTCAATTTGGTAAATGTTAAGTTCTTTCATTCTCAATATGTGATGTTACTTTCAGGTTCATTGAATACTCAATTTGGTCGATGTTAAGTTTGTTAGAGAGTAATCTAATGAATTCTACATATTCTCACATGGGATCAGAGCCTAGGTCTACGAGACTCAACATTCTCATTTAGCCCTCTCTCAACACTACAACCTGTGCCCGCCTAGCCTCCGATGGAGGGGAGTGTTAGAGTCCCACATCGGCTAGACTTTGATAATTTCTCCTCAATATATGTTGGAACCTCCCTTCTCTACTGAAGTGCTTTTTTAGAAAGTAATCTAATGAGGTTCCACATATTCTCATGTGTATTTGGAAGTAGGGACTATTTTTATCCAACGCACAACCAATGGCGGATCCAGGAAATCAAGTGATTGGGGGCATGTCTAGGGGTATAAAAAATGTAAAATATAATAACCCATCTGAACCGAATGAGATTCGGGTTAAACGGTTTTGGGATATTTGATTTTCGGATTCTTCTGAAATCCTTAGTAAGAAACAATTAATGGCAGCGAAGAACGCATAATCTGACAAAATTAACAAGCATTTCTGAAAGAAACGCCATAGTTAAATATCAAAACCATAAAAAACACTAACCTTGCTTATGATTACGACACAAACAGCAGTGAATGGGCTGCGAGAACTAGTGAGTCGCTGAAAGAAGGTTGTGGGCAACAATGGAAAAAGGTTGGGCGCTTGAACGGAAAAAGTTGGGGCAAATGCGAGAGTTGAGGTTTAAAAAAATAATTTGCAACTTTTTTTTTGGTTTTTGTTGGGGGTATATGACCCACCCCTTGAACCTACATCCATCCATGCACATGAGAGGGCAATATGTGTTTTCTTTTAATTCTGTTTCTTCTGTTTGACGTCAGGGTTGATGCAAAGTTGCAAAAGGCGGCCAATACTGCCTTTATGTTTTAACAAGTTGGAATCATCAATCTATTAGATTTTGGCACAAGGTGTTTAGGGGAAAACCCCCCAAAAAATGAAAAATTGAAGAACATTGGTAACCATTCATCTGGATGGTATGCACATGTGCATACAAGTAATTGAAGCTGTTTCTTGGTTTTTAGGCATGTGTGTATGTTATGCACATGTGCATAACGGACAAATTGCTTACAAATTACTTCTATGCACATGTGCGTATCGACTAGATGAACAGTCACCTAGGTGTTCCTCAGTTTCTCATTTTTTTGTGGGTTTCCCCTGAACCTGACCCGGGTAACGGCAATATGTTTATATGATTTCTATATGATATCTATGGTTCTGAAGTTAAGACCTATAGATTCAATAGTTCGGTTCTCATATTTAAACCCCATTAAACTTCTTTGAAATTACAAACTTGTATGAAACATAATCAAACCGTTTGTTGTTTGTTTAATTAGGAGATGGAGGCAACATTGATATGTCAACATCCGATGCCGTGGCCTTGAGAATTACTCACCATGCAGAGTTTACACCATCATTTTCTCCGGAGGGATTTGATCTCCCTAAGGCATACTTTGCCACTGCACAAAGTATACGTGATTCACTTATCATCAATTGGAATGCAACTTATGACATGTATGAAAGGTCGAATGTAAAGCAAGCGTACTATTTGTCTATGGAATTTTTACAGGTTTGTCAAATTGGTTATTGATCAGAAGATGTACCAATTCCTATTATCAACTATGCTTAGTTTTGCTAGTTAGCAATTACCATTTCGTAATGGTCATCATTTCTTTTGCTTATTGAAAACAACTCAATGCAATTACATTGTATTGTTAGTCAACCCTAAATCTTAGATGTTTTCTTGGAACCACCATCATCCATATTGTGAGAATAAGTGGAACCCCCAGATTACTCTCCAAACGAGCACTTGAGTAGAGAAAAGAGATTCCAACATATATAAAGAAGAAATGGTCCAGGTCTAGACGATGTGAGACTCTTACACTCCCCCTCCAACGGAGGCTAGACAGACACAATTGTCCCATATCCCCTAGAGGGGGCTAGATGAGTACATATTACCCCAGAGTGTCAAGTGCCTAGAGTGGTAGACCTTGGTTTTGATACCATGTGAAAATATGTGGAACCCCCATATTAATCTCCAAAAAAGTCCTTTAGGAATGAAGGGAGGTTCCAACATGTATAGAGAAGAAATGGTCTTAGTCTAGGCGATTTGGGACTCTGACACATGTTTTACCTATCCTCTTTTTCATCGTTGCTTAGTGGAAAACCAGTCTCTTGATAAATGGTAGGAGTGGTAAAGGTACCAAAATAGACCAATCAACATGTGTTCCAACCATACCAATTAAATTGGTATCAATTACAATCTGTTGGTAGTAACGTACCAAGTATGCAAACTTGGTTGGTACATGGTATTGGAAGTCGTATACCACTGTAGTACCATGGTACTGACTTATTTAACTATTTATTAATTTTTGAATTTTTTTATCTATTGAATATTAAACTTTGTAAATTTAACTATTTTGTTTCAACATATGAATGCTTGCAAGTTCAATGCTTGTAAGTTCAATGCTTGCAATTAAAAACCCTTAAACATCATATGTGTTATTCGAAAACTCAAAATGTCGCTCAAAATTTGAACATAATGGCAAGTTTTCATATATGTAACTTGAAGTTGCTACAAAACCAGTACCGACATGTATCAACTGAAAAAGTTGGTACCAAGTAGAGTTGGTTGGTACACGGTATAAGATTTTTCATACCAATTATAATTGCTTGCTATACGGTATTGGAGAAAAAGGATTTGGTAATGTACCAAGTCCACCCCTAATAAAATTTTGTTCAAGAAATTAATGATATTCTTTGTTGTAGGGAAGAGCACTATTGAATGCCATTGGTAACTTAGAGCTAAGCGGTGCTTATGGAGATGCTTTGAGCAAGCTTGGCCACAAACTTGAGGATGTGGTTTCACAGGTGAAAATTTTCTGAATCATATACATCATCATATGCATTTTACTTTTTTCTTAAAGGGCATATATTCTTGTAAGTTGAGACCATGTGTGCAGATGTTATATCAAGTTTTTCTTTGTTGCTCTCTTTTAACTATTAGGAGTAATCGATCACTTGATCAAAATATGTGTATATATGAATAAAGAAAATGCAGAAAATTGAAATTCTTGTATAAAATCTATAGAGTAACCATAGAACAGCATACAATCAATAGAAAATCTTACTTGATAGGGTAGTTTCTTGCTTTAATCGAGAAATAGATTGAGGCTTGCACCATGCAGTGTCCTAAGACAGAAAATTTGCCTGTAGAGCGTCCGTCTAGAGGATACAACAATCATATGCAAGTAAGACTTGAATCTAGTAAATCAAACTATGTTTGGTAATGGATTTGTGATGAAAAAGGAAGAGAGAACCCAGAAAATTGAGCTGGAATCGAGAGAGATTTCTGTCCCAAATGTATCTGGTATTTATACGACTCTGTCATAACCCGCTTCCATCACTGTTTTGGCCTAAAAGCACATCATTTGCAAAATCCAATCACACACTAAAGCCTAAGTTCATGTAACTCACTCATTCATATAATGCCCAAGCCTTAGGCTTTATTAAGCGAGTGCTTTTTGTATTTGATTCCTAAGTGGGACAAGTTCCTTTTTCTAACAAGCTTCCAACATTAACTGCATTTATAGAATTATAGCTGCCCTGTTATCTTCCAGGTTATACTAAACTTTTGGGTCTAAAATTCATAGGAACCAGATGCTGCTCTAGGAAATGGGGGGCTTGGCAGGCTTGCTTCTTGTTTTCTGGACTCTTTGGCAACATTAAATTATCCAGCTTGGGGTTATGGGCTCAGATACAAGTATGGTTTGTTCAAACAGCTAATCACAAAAGAAGGTCAGGAGGAGATTGCTGAAAACTGGCTTGAGGTGAATTTTCCATTCTTTTGTTTCAATTACTCTTTTGCTTATCCATACAAAAAAATAAATACTGATATTTGGGTAAAAAAGTTGATTATTGGCAACCTTAACTGGCCCCACACAGAACCCGCCTCCAAGGACACCAATGTGAGGGGGCATTTTGGCTCACTTAGAGCATCTCCAACAGAGTCTCCGAAATTTCTCTAAGATGGAGAATGAAACATCAAAATTTCTAAAATAAAAAATTACATTCAACTCCAACAGATTATATTTTGGAGATTACAACATTGATTATATTATTGAAATATTCCTATTCATCTAATAAACTATTATTTCTCTTTCTAAATATTTATTGTTAAAGTTTCCTATTGGTGGAAATACATTAAATGATATTTTTCTCTCATTGTAATCATTTTTCGGGTGTTCTCCATATTTGGAAATTTTTACACTCTCTCTCCTACTTTCTCCATTTTGGAGAATTCGTTGGAGCAAAAACATCCCCAAAATCCCCAAAAGCTCTATTTTCTCCATTTTGGGGAATCTGGAGATGCTCTCAGCAGCTGAGGCTAGCCAGGGGTGGGGGTGGATCGAACCCTGGACCTGTCTTGTATTTGGGCAAAATCACCCCACCCCTTTGCCAACTGAGCTACCCACCAGAGGCAAAATTAAATCATGATATATCTTTAAGTTAACTTCAGTTTTTGATTGTAGATGGGAAATCCTTGGGAGATTGTGAGAAATGACATCTCCTATCCCGTAAAATTTTATGGGAAAGTTGTCACAGGTTCTGATGGAAAGAGGCGTTGGATTGGGGGAGAAGATATAGTGGCTGTTGCAAGTGATGTCCCAATACCAGGATATAAAACAAAAACGACGATCAACCTTCGTCTATGGTCCACTAAAGTTCCATCGGCAGATTTCGATTTGTCTGCTTTCAACTCTGGAGAACACACTAAAGCATGTGAAAGCCAAGCAAATGCGGAAAAGGTCCAAACACTAAATGATGCATTATATTTCTACATTACTACATTATATTTGAGAGTTGGTTTCCGGTAAGAATAGTAGTTATCTTGAGACGGATAAGATAGGATATCCACCCTTGGATCAATCCTAATTGAAGATCAATTGAAAAATACCCTTCTAAGCTAATTCATGGATTATTTTGGGACTTAATCTGAAGCATTAGATCAACACTAAGTAAAAGTGATCAAGGGTCCAATTCCCTTCTTACAATTCTCTCCTTAACTCCTATTCTCACACGATCTTTCGTCTTATATTTGATTTTGTTCCGTCTTTTTACAATTACAAAGAAAAACCCTGCTCACTTATGGCTATAGATCAAGGCAATATGTTATTTTACTTCCTTATGCTTCTAATGCATATTAGGGTTTGGGTAGTTTACACCTGATAGGAACTAGGTAATGTCTTCACGGAAACAACCGCTCTACTTCTTTTTTGGGGTGTACGTAGCGTCTGCTTACATCTTACCCTCCCCAGACCCTCCTCATGGTGGGATATACTGGCGTCGGGGCTGTTTGGTTGGTTTTTCATTAAATCCTGTATAGATAAAATCGTTTGTGTAGATTAATCTGTCTGTATCAATTGGGAAGGTTTTTGGTTGGGAGGGTTTTTCCATAGATGGAAGAAACTTGTTTGTTAATTGGAAGAGGCAGGTTTAGGAAAAAAACTTGACTTTCTGTATAAAGCTCTCCCCTAGAAGCTTTTTGAATAAATCACTTTCTATATCATTAAGCCACTACCAAACAGTCGCATATAGCTGATTGAATAAGCTGTGAGTCCCATTAAGCTCATCATGCTGCTAAAAAACAGGCCCTTTATTTGGGAACTAGGTAATGTCCACTGCGTTGAAAGAAAAAAAGCTCTGCAACATTTTGCTAAAAAATATATAATTCCGTTTTTTTAGGGGGGGGGGGGGAGGTGACATGTGTGCCTTCCTAATCTGGACTGCCAGAAGCTTCACACTCGGTACATTCAACTACTTATATTGGTTGTGCTAACTAGAGTGATTGTTGACATGGTATTGATAACCATATACTGATACAAGATTCTCCTCTGCCACCAGATATGCTATATACTATATCCAGGGGATGATTCGTTGGAAGGGAAGACGCTCAGACTGAAACAACAATATACATTATGCTCCGCCTCTCTCCAAGATATTATCACACGTTTTGAGAAGAGATCTGGGGAGAATGTGTTATGGAAAGAATTTCCAGAGAAGGTTGCTGTGCAGATGAATGATACCCACCCGACACTCTGCATTCCGGAGCTGATGAGGATATTGATGGATTTGAAGGGAATTAGCTGGAAGGAAGCTTGGGATATCACCCAAAGGTATTTCTTAGCTGCACAACCTGCTAGATGAATTTTTTGTTGGTGATTATAATTTCATCGGCTATTTTGTATAAGCTAACTTGAACCCAGGATGGCAGAATGGCGGGGGTCACACCCTTTGTGGTGGTCCCACTGATGTTGATCAGTGAGTATCCTTAAGGATGCGTTTGGTACACAGGACATAACAGGGATCACTGTTCCATGTTTGGTAGGACTTTTACGTGGAACAGAGTAGAACAAGCGTGTTCTACCCCCACCCCATGGAACAAGGTGGAACAGACTTATATTTTACCCATATAACCTAAAAATAAAACCTAATTCTCTTCTAAAACATCAGGTACTCCTTCCTTTTGACATTTTATTCATTTTTAAAATTTTATTTATTGTATTTTATGCTCATTAAACTTACACTTTGCTGTCCCCAAAATATTATTTTTATACGGTTTCTATATTTTGAATTTTGATTACTTTATGTAACTTATTAAATATTAATAATAAAAAATAATATAGAAAAGGTGTAAAATAAAAATTGGAAACTACATGCACTTTTTATTTTGGTGTCATTTTAATCGTATTGATGAAAGCTTTCTAACTGTTCCCTAGATACATATGTCGTGATATTTTATTTCACAATTGAATCAAATTATGATATATTTTGTTATACAAAATATTTACTTTATTATAATTTAATAAGTTACATAATTAATCAAAATATATAAACAATTCATTAGGGGTAAATTCATTTTTATCCGTTCTATCATGTCCAGTTTTGTCTTACCAAATGCTTCACTACTGTCCTGTCCTGTTTAGTTCTATCATGTCTGTATAGCAAATGCACCCTAACTGCTTTATAACCTATAACCGCCGTAACTACCATGGCGGTGGACTCTAGTTTGACTGCCTGAGTGTTTCATACATATTCTCTTCCTCAAAATTCATAAAGGAAAACATGACTGTTGTATATATTTTTCGCCTCCATGTTGACGACTCTATAATCAAGTTCAGTAATGGTGATCTGCTCTTGGAAATTTCTCAGAACTGTGGCTTACACCAACCATACTGTTTTACCTGAAGCATTAGAGAAATGGAGTTTAGAACTCATGCAGAAACTTCTCCCGCGGCATGTGGAGATCATAGAACTGATTGATGAGGAGGTGAAGCAAAACGCATTCTTTCAAATTTGTATAATAAGGGTTTGGGTTCCGGTGAGAATAAAAGTTACGGTGAGAAGGGTAAGAAGGGATCTCCACCCTTGGATCCTAATTGAAGAGTTCCACTAGATCAACACCAATGAGAAACACCGTATCAATTCCCTTCTAAAGCGCATTTCATGGGTTGGTTTGAGATTAAAAGTGATCAAGGGTCCAAATCCCTTTTTACACTTCTCACCTTAACTCCTATTCTCACACGATCCTTCATCTGTATAATAATACATTTCTGCAGCTTAACGACATGTTATTCTTACAGTTGATCATTGGCATCGTAGCAGAGTTTGGAAAATCAAATCTTGAATTGTTGGAAAGAAAGTTGAATGCTATGAGAATTCTCGAAAATGTTGAACTGCCATCGTCCATAATTGATCTGTTTATGAAACCAAAAGAAGTGTCTGCCATTGATACATGTGAAGTGTTAGAGGTTTCTAATAAAGACTCCGTTGCTGCTGCTGATGAATTTGTTGGAAAAAGCAAGGAGAAAGAGGTTGATCAAGAACCCGTACAAAAAGGTGAACAGAAGGAAGAGGCCGATCTGCAACCAGCTCCTGTACCACAAAAAATGGTCCGTATGGCTAATCTATGTGTTGTTGGTGGCCATGTTGTCAACGGGGTTGCTGAGATTCACAGTGAGATTGTAAAGCAGGATGTTTTCAACGACTTCTATAAGGTAAACATATGTTTGGCAATCCAGCTGATAAAACTAGTCGTTACTGGTAAAAACTAGCTGATAAGCTAGTTGACAATGTAAAATGACCTAAAAGGTTATGTTAATTGGAAAAATATAAGGGGCATAATTGGGAAAAAAAAATGGAAAAATCCCTTGAGCTTATAGTAGCTGTAGGGTTTCAAAAACAAACAGGTAACTTTTAAAAATGCAGCAGAAAAAGTTTTAGGTTACTTTTGTAGAAAACTTTTCTTAAAAGAAACCCTATTCGGATCTAATGACTTTTAAATGAATCTAAACAAACCATAGGGTGTTTAGAATATTACTTTTTCAGGTTTCTATTCTGTTTTTATGTGATAACAAGATTGATTAACCTTTCAGGCTCAGGCCTATGTCCTTACTTTGTAAGTGGCCTATTTGAGTTATAGACAAAACACAATACCCAAACATGGGCCGGGCTTGTGATAATTCTTAAGCCCATTTATCTATAAGCCCATTAAGCCTAAATAGAAGTTTTATTTAATTTTTTATTGATCATAATAAAATTATATGTAAATACATTTACTCATAAAACCCTGTAATTATCATAATTACACTTTTGACACATACTTTAGTTATTATGCTAGACTATTTAAAATCAACATGACATAATTTGGGCTTTTGGTTATCAATAACCATATCGAAGCATACGGATACTTTGTTTGTGACCCTATAGGTTTACATACTTCTTGGTAGTATTATTGTGTGACATGTGTCGTGGGCATATAAAAACTTACAGTAGCATTTAAAAGGCTAGCTTATGGCCAACCAAACGGGACTTTTTCAACAAGCTTAAAAAATAATCCCAACTTATGGTCGCCGAACATGGCCTATATGTATTCTACTAATATTACACGCGTTATATTGTCGATGGCATTGACCACGTAATGCAGCTTTGGCCTGAGAAATTTCAAAACAAAACAAATGGGGTGACACCCAGAAGATGGATATATTACTGCAATCCTGAACTCAGCAAAATCATAACCAAGTGGACACGGGGAGATGACTGGGTACTGAACACTGAAAAATTGTCTGAACTGCGTAAGGTATTGACTGTTATTTGACTTTCCATCTTCCCTTCTTTAGGTTTTAACTGGAATCTAATAGAAAAAGACTTATGTTGTGTATGTTCCATAGGATAAAAATAAGGGAAATTGACCAAAATAGTAAATCTCCGCAACCAACTTCATTTTTTAGTCACTTTTTCAATTGAATTCCCATTTTAGCTAGAGTTTACGCCAATGTCTTACGCATTTGGGTAAACTCGATCTTCAGATTAAAAAAAAAAGAAAACAGATTTTTTGCGTATTTTTTTTCTTTTTTTTCCTCCAGAAATCAATCTTTACACAAATGCGTAAAGCATCAGCTTAAAGACTGGCTATTTTGGGAGAGGCTCTGAAAAGTGGCTAAAGTGTGAATTTGGTTGATCGGATTGGCTATTTCAGTCAATTTCCCTAAAAATAATGTGTTGCTCTTCATATATATGGAAGTATTTGTTGATCCACACCTCAAGGCTGAAATTTGGAACTTATGGCCTCAAACAAGTACTTCCCATTTCTCTAACTTCAGCTTTCCTCATAATAACTCCATTATCAGCCAGAGGCGGACCCAGAATTTTTTTTAAGCAGGGGCACAAAATACTTAACATAATATAAAATAAAACAAAAATTAATTATAAGAAATATTGTTTCATTAAAAATGACATACAAGTGGTTTTTTGCAACACCAAAAGTGTTTTCTTTTTTCTTTCTTTTCTACTGTTGTTTCCAAAAAATTAAAAGAGAGCCAATGGGATTCAAACTTGCAACTGGTAAATGTATGTACCGTATGTACCAGCAGGCTGCAACCATTTTTTGTTAACTTTGAGCATCTGCATCTTCAACAACTATGCTAAAATAGAGATTTTGGAGATTTGGAGTATATTTTTGCTCCAACAGCTATGCTATAAAACATTTGCTAAAATAGAGAAAAGAAGAGAGAGATGGTAGAAATCTCTAAAACTCCATTTTTGAGAGAGAGAAATAATATTTAATTTTTCCAACAATAGAAGACATTGAAATTAAGTGTTTAGGAAAGAGAAATAATATTTTTTTTAAATGTATTTAATATTTTAATAATATAGTTGATGGTAGAATTGCTAAAATAGAATAGCTATTGGAGTTGGATATAATTTTTATAGCGGTTTTTTTTATACTCTTATTTTAAAAAATTTATAGCATAGCTGTTGAAGATGCTCTTAGAGGAGCACACATCAGAATAAAGTGGATGCAGTACTCCTAATATTTTTTCCACTATGTTGGCACGATAGAGTGCTAGCACCGGCATCCCCTCCCTCCTTAAGACTGCACCTGTTGATTAGGAACTATTGGACTAATTCCAGTAAGTTCTTACAGTTTGCAGATAACGAGGATCTCCAAAGCGAGTGGAGAGCTGCAAAAAGGATCAACAAAATGAAGGTTGTATCATTCCTCCAAGAAAAAACAGGATATCGTGTCAGTCCCGATGCAATGTTTGACATCCAGGTCACTGCCATTTGCCTTTTTAGCTCCTTTCTCATACAAAATCTTGCAAGTTCTATTTTGATAGAGTTACATGCTAGTAAGGGGTTGTTTGGTTGGTTTTTCAAGTTGTCTGTGTGGATTAATCTGTCTGTATAGATTGAGAAGGTTTTTGTTTGGGATAGTTTTTTAATAGATGAAAGGAGCGTGTTTTTTAATTGGGAGAGTCAAGTTTGGAAAAAAAAACTTGGCTTTCTGCATAAGCTCCCCCCTAAAGGCTTACTAAATAAGCCACTTTTTATATCATGAAGCCACTACCAAATAACCATGTATAGCTGACCGAATAAGCTGTGAGGCGCTGTTTGGTTGGCTGGTTTTCCATTAAGTCATGTATGGATAAAGTAGTTGTGTAGATTAATCTGTCTGTATGGATTGGGAAGATTTTTGTTTGGGAGGGTTTTTCATAGATGGAAGGAGGGTATTTTGTAATTGGAAGTGGTAGATTTGGAAAAAACTTGGTCATCTGCATAAAGCTTCCCCCAAAAGCTTATTGAATACTTTCTATATCATTAAGCCACTATCAAATAGTGATGTATAGCTGACCGAATAAGCTGCGAGTCCCATTAAGCTCATTAAGCTTCTAACAAACAAGCCTCGAGTCTCGTTAAGCTCATTAAGCTGCTAACAGACAGATCCTAAGTACAAGGCCACATTATAGTTCCTCTTGGTTTTGCTTCAATGCGGAGTACCATTTACATTATGGAATTATTTTTCAGGTGAAACGCATTCATGAATACAAGAGACAGTTGTTAAATATCTTGGGAATTGTTTACCGCTACAAGAAGATGAAAGAAATGAATGCCTTTGAGAGGAAAGAAAAATTTACCCCACGGGTTTGCATATTTGGGGGGAAAGCATTTGCCACATATGCGCAAGCCAAAAGAATTGTGAAACTCATCACAGATGTCGGGATGACAATAAACCATGATCCCGACATTGGGGACTTACTGAAGGTATGTTTTAGCTTGCATTCTTACCTTCTGAGTTGTAATGCTGCTCTAGTAATCAAAGGGTCACTGGCCTGGGGGTACCTGGTTACTGGTAGATCCCAACCTCCCTGGAGGTCAAGGGTTCAAACCCACTATGGTGTATACAATGGTATGGGCCTCTACTTCGTAATTTACTCCTGCATTACTGTTTAAAATTATTAACAAACCACGGACGAAAATCGTAATTTACTCCTGCATTACTGTTTAAACTTTTGCCAACTCTTTTTCTTCTTCTTTTCTATGCTGATGCATTATAACTTAATTATAGGTTGTATTTGTTCCCGATTACAATGTAAGCGTTGCCGAATTGTTGATTCCTGCCAGTGAGCTATCACAGCATATCAGGTACTTCCATCCCTCATAAGACGTCCCTTGTTCCTCGGAACGATATTGAAGTGCATTACCATTGTTGCATTCCTATATTTAAAAACCAAACCAAACGGACCCAATATATCTTGGGCTGTAAAGGAACCGAACGAACACGAATGGAGGCTTGTTCGTGTTCATTCCTTTAACTTAACCGAATAATCGAACGAACGCAAACGTCAAACAAAAGGAATTTTTTGTGTTCATGTTCGTTCCCTAAGAAAATATGTTTTCGTGTTCGTTTATGTTCGTTCATAAGATGCTAAACGAACGAACACAAGTATACTAAAAGCAACCACCATTACTCATCATTTCATTCATAAAAAATAACATAACGAAATGAAAAAGTGGGTCAATAGGAGAGACAAAAAGGAATTCTAAATTTAATTTGATTAAAGATTTCACAAATTAATGTCATAATATATATATATATATATATATATAGAGAGAGAGAGAGAGAGAGAGTCCGGTTCGCGGGAAAACCGCAACAAAATGAAAAACTGAGGAACATCCTGTAACTATTCATTTGGACGGTATACACATGTGCATACAAGTGATTTGTAAGCAATTTATCCGATATGCACATGTGCATAACATGCACACGTGCATAAAAACCAAGAAACAACTTCAATTACTTGTATGTACATGTGCATACCGTCCAGATGAAAGATTACCGGGTGTTCTTCAGTTTTTCATTTGGGGGGGGGGGGGTTCCCCTGAACCCGACCCTATATATATATATAGAGAGAGAGAGAGTGAGAGAGAGATTTGGGATCATGTGAGACCAGCCTGTATATATATAGAGAGAGAGAGAGGGAGAGAGAAAGTGAGAGAGAGATTTGGGATCATGTGAGACCAGCCTGTTTTTCTGAGACCCGTGATACCACCTTTGTACACTTGAAACTTCATAGTAAAACACTGTGAGAAGGTAACCTTCACAGTATTTTTTGCCGTGAAGGTTCGAATTTTTTTACCTTCACAATGTTTTGCTATGAAGTTTCAAGTGTAAAAAAGTGGTCTCATTGGGTCTCACGAAAACAGGCTGGCCTCACGTGATCCCCAGTTTATATATATATATATATATATATATATATATATAAGAGCAGGATCAAACGAGAACGGTACCTATTTAAAAGAACACGAAAACGGGCAAATCACGTGCAAAATCACATGTGATTTTACATTATTGGTCAAAAAAAGTGTCCGGGCAACTTGTGGCTGCATCTTCAGGTCGCTGGGCAAGGTCGCCTGTGATTTTGTATGTGATGTTAGTGTAAAATCATATGTGGGTTGCCATTTTCGTGTTCTTCTAAATATGTACCGTTCTCGTTTGATCCTCCTTCTCTCTCTCTCTCTATATATATATGTATATATAAACAAACGTAAATGAATATAAATGAACGAACATTCACGAATGTAAATGAACGAAGGAGACCATTGTTCATGTTCTTTCATTTATTAAATAAACAAACTTTTTGCCAAACGGTTTTCTCAACATTTAGTTCGTTTACAGCCCTAAGTATATCCTATGTGGAGGTGGGGTATGGGGAGGGTAACATGTATGCAAACTTGACCTGTGTAGATGGCTGTTTCCGTGATTATTTACAACTTTATGATTATTTTAGTACCGCTGGAATGGAAGCAAGTGGAACTAGCAACATGAAGTTTTCCATGAATGGTTGCATCTTGATTGGGACATTGGATGGGGCAAATGTGGAAATAAGGGAAGAAGTTGGAGAAGACAACTTCTTTCTTTTTGGCGCTCAAGCCCATGAGATATCAGGGTTACGGAAGGAAAGAGCCGAGGGCAAGGTATTCCTTGCTTTACTTCTTTCTATAAGAAAAACTTGTAGCCTCACAATCTAATATGTTTATTGAGAGCTTGTGTAAGATCCCACATTGGTTGGGGAGAGGAACGAAAGTTGCTTTGTAAGGAACTGGATACTCCTCTATCAGACGCGTTTTAAAATCGTGAGTCGAGGTATAGACAAAGCGGAAAATATCTGGTACGGTTGGCCTGAGATGTTACAGCTTGGTGTCAAACCAAACAAACCCAATAAATCCCACGTGAGGCATGATATAGGGGTATGATCTACACATCCTTTCCTCTACCCCAATGGGAAGCTCAACTGGCAAATAAAGGCTAGGCCTTGGGGATCCTCCTCATAGTTCGCCAGTTTGAGTCTCCTCAGAGCCATTGGTGAGGATTTTCCTGGATGTTACCTCCAGTAGTGGTGGATCCAGAAAAAAAAATTATCGTTGGGGGCATAGTATAAAATAGAGTAAATTATGTTTTTCGTCCCAATGGTTTGTTAATAATTTCGATTTTCGTCCCTATAGTTTGTAATTTATTGCGACTCTCGTCCTTGGACTAATTCCTACCTTTACGTACAAGGGACCAAAATAGTAAAGAATTGTAAACCACAGGACCGAAACAACAATAAATTGCAAATCATAAGGACAAAAATAGCAATAAATTACAAACAGTAGGACGAAAACTGCAATTTCTAAACCACAGGGACGGAAATCGTAATTTTTAACAAATCACAGGGACAAAAAACGTAATTTACTCTATAAATTAAATAATAATTTAACTAAAATAGAACAAAATTTAGGTAAAAAGACAATAGTCAACCAAGGAAGCAATGGGTGTTTAGGGGGGGGGGGTTATTTGTTGGGGGCACATTTGTAATATTAAGTAAAAAAAATTCAAAATGTGCAGCTCATGGATTTGTTGGGGGCATTTGCCCCCTCTTCAGGCCCCATGGGATTAGTAGAGGTGCGTGCAAGCAAGCATCAACACCCACAATTACCAAGAAAAAAAAAATGTTTCCGTAAAGACCCAACTTCTTTAGACCTCGATATGTTTCAAGTCAAATAAGTGGCTTATCTTCATCGAGTTAATGTGCATTAGCTTTTGTATTTACAGTTTGTGCCCGACCCTCTTTTCGAAGAAGTGAAGGAATACGTTAGAAGTGGTGTATTTGGGCCTTACGATTATGATGAACTAATGGGATCTTTAGAAGGGAATGAAGGCTTTGGCCGTGCAGATTACTTCCTTGTGGGCAAGGACTTCCCGAGTTACATAGAATGCCAAGAGAAGGTTGATGAGGCATATCGAGACCAAAAGGTTAGTTCACAATCTTCCAAACTCCCCAATGTTTCTTTTTTCAGCATAAGTATCAAGACTCTTCTTTCACATCGAACATACTAATTTTCCTATGAACTTGACAAAATAAGCATTCATAACTGTGAGAATATGTGGAATCCAATAAGATTACTCCTCAAAAGAGCCTTTAAGGAGAGAATCGTCCAAGCCAAGCCGATGTGGGCCTCTATCCAATGAAGGCTAGACGGGCGAAAATTGTGCCAGAGTGTCAAGAGGGGGATAGACGGGTATATACTTCCCAAAAGTGTGAGTCCCTGAAGTGGTAGACCTTGGTTTTACCATATAAGAATATGTGGAACCCCGTTAGATTACTCTCCAAAAGAGCCTTTGAGGAGATGAGGGATATATAGCGGAGAAACAGTCCAAGTCTAGACGATGTGGGACTAACACCCCCTCCAATGAAGGCTAGTAGCACAAATTGTCCCAAAGTGTCAAGAGGGGGCTAGACGGTACATATTGCCCCAAAGTGTCGAGTCCTTAAAGTGGTAAACCTTGGCTCTAGTGATACCATATAAGAATATGTGGAACCCATTAAATTAGTCACCAAAAAGAGCCCTTGAGGAGAGAAGGGAGGTTCCAACAATAGAAATGGTCTAAAGTGTCATTTGGTCCCCTGATACCATGTGAGAATACGTGGAACCTGATTAGATTACTCTCCAAAATACCAACATATATTGAGGAGAAATAGTCCAAGTCTAGCTAATGTGAGACTAACAATAACCACCAAACAAACTCTTACCAAATGCAGAAATATACGCCTTTCATCCCTTCAATATTCGACACTACATGTAGTCAAATGAAAGAGCTATATCATCCAAATGTTTAAATTTACTACAATAGGGTTGGGTTCCGGTGAGAAGGGAAGTTATGATGAGAAGCATAAGAATAGATCTCCACCCTTGGATCAATCCTAATTAAATGTCAACACTAATGAGGTGCACCTGGATCAATTCCCTTCTAAGTGCAATTCATGAGTGGGCATGAGATTAAAAGTGATAAAGGGTTCAGATCTCTTCTTACGCTTCTCACTATAACTTTCCTTCTGACACGATTCTTCGCCTACCGGTAATAATGACAAAATGGGTGGGATCTTATTAGACTAAAAATCAATATCATCAACACTTTGCGCTTGGACGTGTAGCTCAGAGCTCAAATACGGAACAAGTTCAAGTTCGAATCCTGCATGAGACGGGCTTGAACCCCTCTTCTAGCCTCAACCGTTGAGTTAGCTTTGAAATGCCTCCTCACATGTGATTCCTAGGGGATGGTTTCTTGTGGCCGGCTCCAGCTGAGAAATTACCTTGTAGTCAGAGGAAACTCAAACGGCAAATTATCAAGTCGATGCTCATATAACTGCATTTTGATACTCTCACTTTTCCCTTCGATGAGCTGATCTTTAATTGCAAAAGTGATAGCTTATATAACTGCATTTTGATACTTTTTTGAAGACGAGAAAGAGTCAGCCTTAAATGTCCCTATTCAATAGGCTTTCTTTCTCCCTGTAGTTGGTCACCCTTTTTGCTCAAATATCATCAACACTTTATAAGTACAAGTTTTTATTGGTAAAAGATGTTGTAATCCTACATCGCTAGACTTGGACCATTTCTCCTCAATATGCTAGAACCTCCCTTCTGTACTTGATGGTTCTTTTTGGAGGGTAGTCTAATAGGGTTTCACATATTCTCACGTGGTATCAGAGTCGAGGTCTACCACTTTAGGGACTTGAACAAGGTTCTACACTAAAGACACTAAGAATCACGAGCATGGTGTTGCATAATCTGTAATACACTTTTCGCCCAAATATGTAGTTTTAGCTGTGAAGATATGCCAACCCCGACGGTAAACTTGCTATAATTTTCGTCAAAACTAGTCCTATAAATCAGCATCATGCCTGAATTTGCAGAATCTTTTGTGTTGCAGAGATGGACTCGAATGTCGATCTTGAACTCAGCTGGGTCATACAAGTTCAGCAGTGATCGAACCATTCACGAGTATGCTCGAGACATATGGAATGTTCAACCTCTTCAACTTCCTTGACCTACCCCATCATCGGGATATTGGGGATTTTCTTGGCTGTTATTTTCAGGGTTCTGGTATGAGATTAGTGGAGATACCCGCAAGCTGGTCCGAACATCCATAGTTACAAAAATGAGCAGAGATAATGACAAGACTAAACCATACATATTTGTTATTTGTATGCACACTTTTTGTTCAATCATTAATCTTTCCAAGTAATTTAGGTCTTTATATGCTGTTTGAACCTACTCTTGCTATAAATTACTTGCAACATACTTCAACATCAAATGTAGTTTTTCTTAAAAGTTTCCTTATTAAGGGGCCGTTTACCAAACACTTACCCGGTAAGCGTTTACCAGTAAAATTCAACACTATCACTTACTTATCGGGTAAGATTTTAGTCAACAAAAACGGCATCGTATGCAACAATTTACCCGGTAAGCGCTAACTGTGGTAAGAGTCCTCGTCCTCACTTACTGGGTAAGACTCTTGGTCCTTGCCTTGCTCTTACCAGGTAAGATTATTGGTCCTTACCATATTCACCCGTTAAGTTAATATGACTTGATAAGCGTTTATCCGGATAAACGTTTGGTAAACGACCCCTAAGTTTGGTTATTATCTTTTGTTCTTATCTCCTTATTAAGGTTGGTTATTTTTTAAGATTTCCTAAACAAGGGACTTTTGTATGGCGTGTCAACCTTATCCTAAGTGACCATTAGGTGACGGTTAACCCTCAACGACTTTTTGAAAACGTTAACGACCCTTCAACGTGTCAAGGTTCAAGAACATCCACAACACAGGTTCTTGTAAAAACCTCATTTTTCTACTTTTTCCTACCATATCAGCGCCACCTCAACAAAACAGAAAACTTAATAGAACTTCATAGTGGAGGTTCTTAACAGAAACTTCATCTTCCAATGGAACAAGAAACGAGACAAGAAGTTGAGTTTCTAGTGCGAGAAGTTGGGGTTATGTTAAAGGAGCTGTGATTGGACAAGAACCTATGCCTACGGTAAACATTTCTGTAAGAACCTCTCCTCAAGAACAGTGTCAAGTACATATGTCATGGATGATGTGTATGAACCTCTTGCTGTAAATTACTTACTCAGATACATCAATATCCAGTGTTCTTTATATATCCAAATATCTGATATAACTCAAAAAAAGGGTTCAAATAACAACACCCTTTACTCAGGATAACACCGAGTAATATATGATGGAGTTATCATCCATATTCTTTTGGATATTTGTACGTATGGATGCCATTTCGCGATGTCTAATACATTGCTTGGTGTTTTTGTTTGGAAAGCTATTTGAATATACCGTTTGAAGGGCCAAATAAATACTATGAGAAGTTACATAAGACAGTTTATATATGAAAAAAATTCAAAAAAATTATTTAAAAATGCATATATGAACCGACGTTGCAAATATGGACATCTTCAAGATATTTTGCTTTTCTATTTGACCTTCATGTACTATACACCATAATGAAAAAGTCAAAAAGTTTAAGGCAAATGTCTTTGTCCAGCTCAGTTGGCAAATGGGTAGGGTGACTTTCTCTAAATATAAGACATGTCATGGGTTTGATCCCAGATCACATTAAGGTGCCGTTTACCGAACACTTACCCGGTAAGTGCTTATCGGTATAATTTAACTCTTATCATTTATTTACCGGGTAAGATTTTAGTCCACCAAAACGACATCGTATGCAATAATTTACCCGGTAAGTGCTTACCGTGGTAAGAGTCGTCGTCCTCACTTACCGAGTAAGACTCTTGGTCCTTGTCTCATCCTTACTGGGTAAGATTCTTGATCCTTACCATATTCATCCGGTTAGATAACGTAACTTAGTAAACACTTACCCAGATAAACGTTTGGTAAACGGCCCCTAATTTTCTAATTTTTTAATATAATTTCAAAATACATATTTAAGGATATATAATTAAAAGATGGCTTTTTAAAATATGTTGACACCCATAAGAAAAATTGAACATGTTTTCTTAAAATACGTTCTCCAAAATAAACTTTTTTTAAGCTATAGACTCTAAAATACACAATTTAACCACCCTACAAAGGGTGGTGTTTGATTGGTTTGAGTTTGAGCTCCAAAGGTCAAAGTGCCTGGAGGTCTCAAGTTCAAATCCAAGAAAGAATAAAAATCCTCTTGTGACTACGGAGGTTCAAATACGGTGATTCCGGGCTACCAACAAAGCAGGTGGTCACTCTTTGGGGCAGCCTGAGTCACGGGCCAAGTCGCTCGTACACCACCAGGTCCCTCACATGTATTATCATGTAATAATGATGTTCTTATGTTTTCGTAAAATAAAAGTGTTCTCGTCTAAATCTATACATACATATATACATACACACATGCACACACGCGCGGGCGTGCGCGCGCACACACACACACACATATAGGTTGAGGTTCAAACGAGAACATCTCCATTCCACGAGAACACCCTTATCACATGTGATAAAACGCGTGAGGGGAACCGGTGGTATGCGGAATACGTGTTCTACGACTTAGGCCGCGCCAAAGGTTGTCTGTGTCTATGATTTAACATCACATGTGATGTTCTTGATGGATTATAGCATCATATCAACAAAACCTTTATCACATGTGATAATACCTGTAACGGGGCTTAGTGGTGTAAGGGCGACTTGGCCCGCAACCAAGATCGCACCGAAAATCGTCCGCGTCTCTGATTTAGTATCACATGTGATTGTCTATAGTAAAAGAGTGTTCTAGCATTCTTATAAAATAAAAGTATTCTCATTTAAACACACACCAACATAAACTAAAAGGGCATAAAAATGGCTTGTATGGTAATGTGACTTGTACAACCACCCTTTTCCTCTATTTTGTTTATTTTCCTTTTTTCTTTTTTGCTTCATGTGACATTTCTACACCATCGTAAGAAAATGCTATTTAGGAATGTAAAAAATAAGTCTTGATATTGATATGTGTAATGGGAAAACTAGTCGGTAGGATCATAGGAGTACACTTAGTGATATACAGAATCATTTTTCACATTTAATAGCCTAAACCCATGACATAAAACTACTGAGTAATTTGCAAATATCGACACCTCTGTAACAAAAAAGGTTCAAAATAAGACTATGTTCTTGAAATGCACTTTCCGATCGATAGTGGGTCCCACTCAGTATCGCTATGGACCCACTTGAGCTCGATCTCCCTATCGCCATTGTCGATACCTCCCCCGAGATCGATCTCAGAAGCTTCTCCATTCCCAAAATCTTGATCATATGGCCTTGGTTCCTTGCTTGACTTGTGCCCAACCACATTTGACCCGACCCGACCTGGATTCATTTGACCCGACCCAGTTGACCCAGAATCAGAAAAAGCAAATTCAGCTTGATGGGAAATTACCAATTTACCCCCATCCAAATTCCTCACTCCCCTGGAAAGCATCATCAAGCAAATAGCCCCTCCTTCAGTTTCATCATCACAAGAACTCAAACCAGCAGAACTGGGAAGATGATGATTATGCTTAGCAGACTTGTACCTTGTGCATGATCTCTTTTTTCTTACTGGATTTGGTTGCACCCCATTATCTTCTTCTTCTTCTTCCTCTGATGATGATGATGATGATCTATGATTGGACGGTCGAGATCTTTTGATCATGGAATGACATCTCATGTGACCATACAAAGCCTTCACTGAATCAAAACCCTTACCACATTTTTCACACACATTTGTTTTCTTGGTTGATTCTTTTCTTGAGTGGCATCTCATATGGTTAGCAAGAGATCTTGATGAATGAAACCCTTTGCCACATTTCTTACATACATCATCATCATCATCATCATCATCAATCGAATTCGAAACTCTCCAAGATTTCTTGGGGTTTTCTCTTAGAACATACCCATAATCTTGGTCAACATCCATTTCTTGTTGACTTTTCTTGATCATTTCATCATCAAAATCAACACCCTTTTCGCCATTAATGGTTTCCTCATCATGTTCTTCAATACCCATCATTCTTTGATCATCATCATCATCAAAAAGATCAAGACCCTTTTCGCCATTAATGGCGTCTTCATCATGTTCTTCAATACCCATCATTATTTGCTCATCATCATCGTTAAGACGAAGACCGTTTTCGCCATTAATGGAGTTTTGAGCATTTTCTTGCCTACTCTTGATTCTGCTAGCTGAAATCAATGCTAAATGACCCCTCATATGCCCTCCAAGCTTCTTCCCATTCGAAAAACTCTGTTTACAGAATCTGCAAAAATGGCACTTGTGTTCTTGATCTTCTTTCATGATTCAATATCTCAAGAATACCCACATCAAAATATGAAAATATAACAGAAATCTTTGATTTTGAAGGATATGGCAAGAAACAGAGGAAGGTATCGAAAAACCCAGTTTAGAAATCATAAACCCTAAATCGAATTACCAAAAAAGAGGCCAATTTGATCACTAAAACAGAAATCATTGGTAGAAACTGAATCTTTGGAAAGAAGAAGATCTCTTTTTACTCTCTCTCTAAAAGACATTCTCACTCATCTCTCTCTCTCTCTCTCTCACGCACATACACACTTGTTGGTAATGATATGTGAGTTTTTAAAGGCAACATACGGGTTGATGTGTGCGGACGACGTGCCATACGACTTAGGTCATGTCAAACGTGGTCTGCGTCTATGATTTAATATCACATGTGATGGATTATAGTATCATATCAAGAACACCTTATCACATGTGATAATACACATGAGTGAGCTTAGAGGTGTAAGAACGACTTGACCTGCAACCTAGATCACGCCAAAGTCGTTCGCATCTCTAATTTATTATCACATTTGTATCATATATGATGGAATATAGTATCACATGTGATTGTCTATAGTGAAAGAGTGTTCTTACGTTCTCTCAAAATAAAGGTGCTCTCGTTTGAACCCTTCCCGTATACAGTATACATATGTATGTGTGTATATTAATATGTGGTGTGTATGTGTAACTACACATAAGTTTGTACATGTAGAAGGATTTATAAACCCCACTACAAAAACATGTAATTGAGTTGGGCAAATCTATGGTACACAACAATCTTTCAGGTAACTAAGGGGTCGTTTACTTAAATACTTATCGGGTAAGCGCTTATCGTTAGGCGTCAATATTATAATTTATTTTACCGAGTAAGATTGTAGTACATCAAAATGGTATCGTGTGCAACAATTTACCCGGTAAGCACTTACCCGAGTAAGAGTCGTCACCCTCACTTACCGGGTATGACTCTTCATCTTTATCATTGTTCTTACCGGGTAAGATTTTTGACCCTTGTCATATTCATCTGATAAGGAAAGTTACCCGATAAGCACTTTCCAGGTAAATGTTTAGTAAATGGCCCCTAAATCAAACAAACTCAGATATCGCACATGGAAGTAGGGTCTGGAAAGGATAAGATGTACATAAGTCTTATCTTAATCAATGATACATGCTTAATCAAGTGTTGTACATTTAAAAGAAATGGTACAACCTGGCAATGCATATGAATTATGAACAATAAACCTCATATCTTTTCCTTCTGATTTTGTTTCCTTTTCTATTTATGTACCATCTTTACCACTCAACATTATAAGAGTAGCTCATTCATCATTTGATGTGACCTTTTGTACTGTTATTTAAATTATGGTTGTTCATCGGTTGATATCTATTGGATGTGATGGGAACCGAACCAATCCAATCATTCATTGGATGTTGGATTTTGCCAACCAATCCGATTCGATTAACATTGGATAACCGATCTGATTCGATGTAATGGATGATTGGATCGGTTCGGTTATATTCATTGGATATCTAATGGATGATCGGTTGGGATTGTATCCATCAAGTGTGTTGATTCAATCCAATTCTTCAACAATGATATAAATTGATTAATCACTTTTAATATATGTTAAAAACAAGACAAGAGAAGTTAAAAATTCAAAGTCTCACGTAAAACAAATTCCGATTTAAGCAATTTGATAATAAATTAATTGGATGATAGTTGGATAATGGTTGGATGGACAACTAGATGATCATCAGATGATTAATTGGATGGGTAATTGGATGTTGATCGGTTCGGTTTTGGTCGGTTTTGGACTACCATCCGAGAACCGACCAATCCAAATTAGATGTTGAAATCTTCAATCCGATCCGATCCAATTACAATTGGATATCCAATTATGGTCGGTCAATCCTAATTGGATCAGTTGATTTTCTGCATGCCCTTAATTTAAATCTTCTTAAGAATCCAATATTAAAAATATGAAAAGGGAGGAATATAGATCTGACAAATGCGTGGAGGAACTTATAAGGAATTTATTTAAAGGCAGTTTGGCAGTTGCTGAATGATTTGATGTGATTAAGTGATCAAAATGATTAAGAGACTCTCATGATATAGTGCAAAATGAATTATAACTGTTTGGTAATTACTTACAATGAAATTAGGGCGCTTAATAGATAAGGGAAGGACCAGAATACAAAATCACTAAGAATGTTTTAGAGCCATTAAGAGACAGACTTTTTTTTACCAAACAAGATTCACCTCTTAACAATTTAGAGATTTGCCACTGTTTTTAGAGCTATGAATTTCACGCTCTTCCTAAGGGAGGATTAGAGAAATCCTATTGATTTAAGTTTTCTCCAAATCCTATGGAGCTGAAATTTTAACTTTGTATCAGGACGTACGGGTCAAGGGACAGTCTCTAATAATCAGTTAAAAATATTCATCTGTAAAGGGTTATTTTTTTATCTATTAATAATGAGTTAAACATATTAATAGGATTAATTAATAATCTACCATTCATTTTATTAAAAATATTTTACCATATATTTAATTAATCATTTATTTTGTTGTTTATTTATATGCCAAAATAATGTTTGATTTCAAGGGTTTGAATGTTGTTTTTAAAATAACTATTTTGATCTTAATAATCAAAATTGGAATTAAGGAGTTGTTTGACAGTTGCTGAATGGTTTAATGCAAAATGATTAAATGATCAGAATGATTAAGAGACTCTTATGATATAGTGAAAAATAAAATATAATTGTTTACAATGAAATTAGGGCGCTTAATGGTTAAGAGATGTCCAAGATACAAAATCATTCAGAGGTTTTTAGAACCATTAAGAGACAGACTTTTTTTTTTGTCAAACAAGATTCACCTATTAACGATTCAGATGTTGTCTCTTAAGAGGTTAACAAACGACCCCTAAGAAATCACTCCATAAGTATGAGATATGTGTATATAGTCCCCAAAACTATCCTAAAAAATAACAGTTAAACACATATATTATTGATAATTTACATACAGTCTTTGACGTGTAGCTCAGTTGCCAAAAAAGCTGGACACAATCTTGTCCAAGTACAAGATAAGTTGTTGATTCAATCCCAGGTCCCTCGCTAGTCTCAACTGTTGGATGAGTCAAAAAATGTCCTCTCATATCGGTGTCATTAAAGACTGGTTTTATATGGGACCGGTTGGAATTGTCAGTAATCAATTTTTTTTCAAATAACAATATAAAAGTAGTTTAAGTCAAAATTAAAACCATTTTGGAAATTGTGGTCAATGAATTACAAAATATAAGGATCAAAACTGAGATTTATAAATCACAGGGGCAAAAATTGTAATTGTTAACAAACCACAGGGACTGAAAATGTAATTTACACATAAAATGTTTCTTACCGGAAATAGAATTTGACTTCAAATAATCAAATCATTTTATACGGGGCATGTCCACAAAAGACAAAAGGTCGACCCGACCCGATTTTCGCTCGTGATATAGGCTGTTGACGTGATAGACTCACACAGAGAAATTTTTGACGAAGTGAACACAGATCTGTTACTCCGGCCGGCCTACCGACCGACCGACCGAACGAACTACCGGACCTTACCGCCGACGAGAGATCAATAAAGAAAACAACAAGTCCTGTTCGAATCGGTATCATACTTTTGATTCAGCAGCAGAAGCAAAGATGATGTCTGGAAATTACACAACCATTGACAACCAGAATGTTTCTGGATCTGTTCCTGTAAATCTTCTTTTCTTCTTCTTCAATTTCGTTTTTTTTCACTTTGATATTAGATCTGAAACTTAATTTAGTGTTTTGATCGATTTGCAGGCCGTTTCAGATCCTCCTGGACAAGTTGCTGTGAAATTTAACGGTACTTTTATGCATTACGCCATTTTTTTGGTTTTGATTTTTATAGTTTTCATAGTTTTCAGTTGAATTATTTTGTAAGCAAATGAAGTAAATTGGTTAATGCAGATGCAAGTCTCCAAACCTTTCCTCCGGCTGGAACACAAGGGAAGATCTCAGGCGATGGCGGACCGCCTCGTGATGCCGATGGTCTGTGTTTTAAATTCTAATTAGAGTGTGATTTGTTTTGAATTATTTAGTCCAATTTGGTAAATCTCGGTTGAGTTGGCTAATTTATTGGTTTAGCTTTCACCTGATGGATCTCATTTAGTTCAATTGCATAATTAAATGTATATAAGGTTTATTGTGCTTTTAGGAGCTTAGCTTGATAGGTTTTTGAACTTCCGTTGATTTGTGTGCTAAAAGGTAGGAGACTAGGTTGTAAGGGGAATGTAACATGACTCTTTTTCTTGAGATTGAAGCATAACCAAATCCACAAAATCGAAACAAATCTAAAGCCCTAGCCAGTTGGAAACCAAGAGTCATGATTCTAATCACTCTGGTTTGAACATCATCTTTCCTGCACACTTTTGTAAATTGATGGTTTGAACATCATCTTTCCTGCACACTTTTGTAAATTGATGGTTTGAACATCATCTTTCCTGCACACTTTTGTAAATTGATNTTTGTAAATTGATGGTTTGAACATCATCTTTCCTGCACACTTTTGTAAATTGATGGTTTGAACATCATCTTTCCTGCACACTTTTGTAAATTGATTTGCAGAACAATCATAATCAGATAAATCATGAACATGGTTAGCCACTTTTGGCATCAAATTCACATTTTAGCTAAAGTTTACACAGATTCTTTAGAGATCTTCTTTTCTTTTCTTTTTTTAATCTGAAAATAGGCTTTACGCAAATGCGTAGGACATTTGCGTAAACTCTGCTAAAATGGAATTTTAATTGAAAAATGGCTAAAAAGTGAATTTGGTTGAGGCGATTGGCTATTTTGGTCAATTTCCCAGTTCTTTGACTAGGGACAATTGGTCTTGAAAGCGTATTGTAGCTGTAAGGGGGGAAGGTACTGAACAAAGAAAAGGAAGGAAATTTCATGCCGGCCTATATGGAAGTCAGGACTGAAGTTCATCGTCTTAGAAGTTTGAGGCCTGCATTTCTAGGATAATGGACTTCTCTGCCTTTCTGTTTCCCCACATTTAATTGGAGGGGAACTTATTTCTAATGTTGTTATTCAGTCTGTTTGTTCTAGTTTTTGTTTTCTTCTAGAGAGAATAATCGGCCTGTATCTGCAGATACATTCTCAAAGCCGGTATCTGGTTCATCAGAACCACAACCAAGTGGTGGTTGGTTTAAGATATTCACGATTGCTGCTTACCAGCCTTACTTTGATGTCGACACATCTGATGTGTTAGAGAGGATCAAAGATTCCCTCTTGCCTTTCGGAGGGAGCTTTAACGAGAAGACTGCTAGCAACCCAGACTTGTAAGTTGATTCTCCCTCCGTTTCTGTTCATTACTGAGTTTAAAATACCGAGTTCATATTATACTTGTCAAAATAAAAATATACATTCTTCTGTATTAGTTACACAAAAAACTTTTAGATTACTGAGCTGTAGGTCATACGAACATTAATATATTCTGGTGTCAACTGTCGGAATATGTGGCTGGCTACCTATTTGATATGCTAAGGTTCTCATGCATGGGGTTTTTAGTACATAATATTTATATACGGCAAATGCTCGCTCCTCATTGTGGGAAGGTTTGAACTATTGACCTCTATTTGCGCTCTACTGGTAACTCGGATACCGCTGGGTCAATGACCCTCTGGTATGGGGTTTTTTTTAATGCAACATAAATTCTCTCAAGACTATAGGCAACAAAATGGGTGGGATCGACCCATCAACCTTCCTTTCCCCTTTTTTTAAGAATTTCGTACATAACTAAATATGATTGTAGAAGAACTCTTGAAAACAATGATCCAATTTTCTTTGAATAAAATTATTTAGAAGATTATAAACACTAGAGTACACTTTGGGTGGCTTTTAAACCGTTCGACCTGTTTCCTTATAAATGTAGACAAACCTGACCTCTCATCTCAGAGTGTAGAGTGACTGTTTCCATGAAGATTACTTCTTTGTGTCTTATTTTGCAAATATATTTTTTCTATCGAGATATAGATAAATTACGGTCTTCATTTCCATTTATGATCATCAGGTATGGACCTTTTTGGATATGCACTACCTTAATCTTTGTGGCAGCTTCAATTGGTACATTTGTGACTTATTTGGCTCACAAGCTACAGCATAAAGAGTGGAACTATGATATCAATCTCATAACCTGGTCTGCTGGTGTGTTTTATGGCTACGTCCTTGTGGTCCCTTTATGTTTGTACATAATTCTCAAGTACTTCTCGGCACCCTCGGGATTGGTTCAGCTGTTCTGTCTATACGGCTACTCCCTTTTTATCTTCATTCCGGCAATGGTAAGGATTTTCTTTCTCAAATTTGTTCGTGTATTATGAGTTTAGATCACATATTTTACATGGGGAATGTTCAAATGAGAATGACCAAAAAACGGATGAAAAGGTATAACAACATTGGGAAAAAAGCTGTAACCAGCTTTTTTAATTAATCCCTTGGATCATCTCATCTGACTGGTTGAAGCTATTCTACATTTTTGTCATTCTCATTTGAGTGTTGGGCGAAAAAATGATTATGATTATGATTTTTTGATTATTTAAGATTAAAATAATCAGATTTGGAGAAGTTAGTAAAGAGTTCCTATAAAAACCCGATTAGTTTAGATAAATGTAAAATTATCAAGTTTTGATTATTCAAATGACAATCATCACTTTGGAAAAAAAACCCTACTCCTGAAAGCTTTTCAAGGAGCTAGTTGATATAACCAAACACGGCTTTTTCAATAAGCTTAAAAAATAAGCTACCTTATAGTTGCTAAACATGGCCTACCCGGTAAGTGGTTACCGACAATATTCACCACCCTTAGGTGCCGTTTACCGAACACTTACCCGGGTAAGCGTTTACCAAGTCACATTACTTTACCGGATGAATATGACAATGATTAAGAATCTTATCCGGTAAGAGCGAAGACAAGAAGCGAGAGTCTTACCCGGTAAGTGAGGGCAACGACTCTTACCATGGTTAGCGCTTACCGGGATAAATTGTTGCATACGATGCGTTTTGGTGAATAAAATCTTACCTGGTAAGTAAGCGATGGAGTTGAATTTTACCGGTAAACGCTTACCGGGTAAGTGTTTAGGTAAACGGCCCTACTTACCTTATTGGGTAACATTCTCGACCATCAAAATGGATTGTTGGTAAGCGTCTTTTACTCTATCTAGTGTATTAACTATGCCTCTTACCGAGAAAGATTCTCAGTCCTCTCTATACTTCTTATCCAGTCAGCATTCGGTAAAATTCTCCTAAGTTCTTTTTCTCTTCTCATTTGTGATCGATGATTGTGTTGGCAGTGCCTATCCGTTGTTCCGGTGGAGATATTCCGATGGGTGATAACGGGTGTCGCAGGGATCATGTCGGCTTTGTTTGTAGCACTGAATCTACGCAACCACATAGTGTCGGCCGGTGAACGATGGTTCCTTATCGTGGCCGGTATTTTCGTCTTGCAGTTGGGTCTCTCCTTTGTACTGAAGATGTATTTGTTCAATGTGAGTGTGTAGTGTTATTATTTTTGACAGAAGCTGGTGATAATATCAGCAATTATAGAAAGAAGGGAGTGGGGAGGGGCAAAAGAGTAAATGGACCTTTGAAAACTTGAGAGAAAGTTGTTTTTAAGATTTGGAGTGTTGTTCCCCATGGACTGGAAAGCATATATTCTTTTTTTTCTTCTATAATTCATTTATGATCATATACATTTAGACAGGTCCAATATGTAATAGAGCATTGTAATAAATCGATCAAGATGTTACCCTCATTTTTATGAGTTGTGTTTACGTGACTGTTTTCGTAAGACACGATTTTTACACTTAAAATTTCACAATAAAATGTTGTGAATGTTACATTCACAGTGTTTTGTTATAAAGTTTCAAGTTTAAATATCGTACATGAAAACAGTTTTGTTTCACATAATCTCAACTCTCATCTATATTGCATTAAGTTGTAAGTTAAATTCACCCTTATAATTATATGATATTAATAAGTGTGGAGAATAGTTGACGAATACTAAAAGGTATAAGTTTTGATGTTTAAAGCTCCATGAAACCTCTCTCATCATAAGATAATATTAAAAATCAAATTATTTTTAATTTTTCAAATTATATTTATATCTTTATAATTAGTTATTTAATTACTTTATATCCCTTACTTTTTCATTTTTCGTTTTTTTATTAACCTGAATATCCAACCCGTTATGTGAGCCGACTAATTCCAGGGCGACCACCTGCTTTGCAAGTAGACCAGAGTCATTGCATTTGAATCTCGGTGGCCACATGGGGATATGATTAGCATAACGAGTATAAAATAATATTTTTAATATTGGGTTTCTTTTTTAGATTTGATATGAAACTGTATTTTTTAAATTTTGGAGTTTATAATTAGCATAACTTCACAACCTTGATTTACAAAGAAGTTTGACATCTATCTTGGCGTCATACCTAAACTAGTATTGTTAAGTGTATCTTTATCTATTAATTTTATTCTTATACATATTAATATCAAAACTTATTTTTGTATTTTTAATGTATAACTTAATCTGATTCTAAATAAACAAGGTGCATATAATAACATCCTTCTATTATTTTCTTTGTTTTTTTTTTGTTAAATTCAAAAAGAGATAACCTTAAAAATGATACATAGGAGATCTAAAGAGGGAGCATTCGTCAATTTTTTTAATCCTCTAATTGTTTGTCATGAACAATTACTATATTAAATATAATTACAAAATTGTTGTCAAAATAATGATTCAATTATTTGTTTGAACAAAAGTGATTTAAAGAGTTTTTAACATTTTGAGTATAACATGTTTAACCTTTTATGTATAAGGGTTGGGTTTTGGTGAGAATAAGAGTTAAGGTGAGAAGTGTAAGATGTGATCTTCACCTTTGAATGCATATTAGAATGAGATGTACCAGATCAATCATCATATTAAGCACGATTCATGAGTGAGTTTGAGATTAAAAGTGATCAAATGTTCAGATCACTTGTTACGCTTCTGATCTTAACTCTTATTCTAACACGCCTACTCATTTTCACATAAATTGTTTGAAAGTATTGATTCCTTTTTGTTTTCAAATTTAATAAATATAATGTTATGTTGGGTATGCAAACATAATTGGACCGGATATGACATGACATGATAAGTTTTCTGTCCAATGTTTGATATGAGTAAGACAATACTAGACAAGTTGCCTCTTAAAATTTGTTTAATATTTTATATATCATATAATAGTTATAAATGATACACATTAAGTAATATTTAAATAATTTAATTTATAAATATTTTTATATAATTTTAACTTACATAAATACATACATATATAATAATACTAAATTTGAATGAAAATTTTGATATAATTGATGGTAGTTTGAAAAAAAAACTCGATTCGTACAAAAGAAAAACTATATTTTATTTTGTTTGGAAGATTTTTATAAACTAAATACCCTTTTCCACTTAGGTCACATGTGTTTGTGAAATTATAAATTTAAAAAATTAAAATTTTTATATGATAAATTACAACCGTTTACTGGAAAAATCAATGGACAAGATTGGTTAATAAAGTTAACTCAATAAACTTGATTAACATTTGAACCAGCTTCTACATATATAATAGTACCAAATTTGAATGAAAAATTTGATATAATCGACGGTAGTTTGAAAAAAAAAAAACTCAATTCGTACAAAAGAAAAACTATATTTTGGAAGATTTTTATAAACTAACGGAGACACAATGGAGATTGTTGTAGTGACAATGGTGGTGGATGTAGAGGTGGTGGTGACTGGCAAACAATGATGATTGTGGACGATAATGCCCGTGGAGAATATAGTGGTGGGCCTTGTGGTTGGTGTGGTGGAGGTAGATGTGGTGCTGATGGTTATGATGGAGGGGGAGGTGATCGACAACGGTAGTGGTGGCCGGTGGCATGGGTGTGGCTATCGATGACGGCCATTAAAATAAAACAATATTAGGATTATATCAAATGAGAGTAGATTAATACTTTTTTTTTAGTTTTCTATCTTGTTCCAACCTATTTCGATGGAACAAAAAAATAACATTTTTAATCTCACTGGTCCTAATACTTGTCCCTGTCCCGTATCGTACAAAACATGAAACAATGAGTTTTGTCTTATCCCACATCATGCCTAAGATGAGATGGCGAGTTTTGTTCTGTCCTTTTTGAGGGGGTCTTTAAAGAGTCCGTTTTATAAATTTTATGAGAGATCAAATGGGGCCCGGATGCTTTAATTTTTGGAATGCAAATAAGAAAAATGATATTTCAGTACTTTTTTGTTCCCTTAATAAAATATATCTCCGATAATTAATTATAAATACTAATAAAAGTATATAAATTACCATGTATTAAACATATTGTGATTATCATTTATAATTAAAAATGATTTATTATTTAATAGTTTGAAAAGGTTTTTTCGTCATTCGAACATTTATAATAAACACAATGAAACTGAATCTGTGGGTTTACCAAACAAAATGGAAGATTCATTAATCCATGGAATTTGAGAGATTCTGATGAAACTGAATTCCATCCATGTTACCAAAAGAATTTCATCAACAGAACTAACCATTTCAATTTAATTAAATTATTAACCATTTTAATTTAATCAAATTCTTTCAAAATCTGTAAATCATATAACAGCATCTCTAACAACTATATACATACATACACATATATATACATACATATATACAATACATGGCTTGGGTTCACGTGAGACCAAAGATTTGACCACCCATATTTCTTTTTCCAAAAAAAAATATTCAACCAAAAACGAACATCGTATTAGAAAAAGTCATTGTCCAATGGTACTTGAGTTACTAGTAAATAAGGGTGTACAGGAACCGAACCAACCCAATCCGGTCCGACCCGAAGCCACCTGATGATTAATGAGTTGTAAAATTTTCAAACTGTAGGCAATAAGTTGGAATTATGTTAAGGTTATTTGAACAGTACCTAACCCGATGAACTTAATACCCTCCTTTTTTTTGGATTTTTAATATGATTGTTAAGTGTCTTATTTGGACAAAAATGTTGACTATCGGCAACCCACATGGAACGCGTTCTCGGACACCACATGTGAGAAGGCATTTAGTGAGCTAACTCGGTCAAGGTGAGCAGAGGGATTCAAACCTGCATCTCGTGAGATTCAAACCAGAACGTGTAATGTATTTGTGCATAGTCACCTTACCCTTTATCAACTGAGCTACATGCCCAATGGCTATCAAGTCATTTACTAATATGTACATTAGACCATCACACTTTTAAGTGGTACATCCCAGAAGTTCAAGTAAATAACGTATGTAAGGGGCCGTTTACCAAACACTTACCTGATAAACGTTTATCGGTAAAATTAACACTATCATTTATTTATCAGGTAAGATTTTAGTTCACGAAAACAACATCGTATGCAACAATTTACCCGGTAAGCACTTACCGTGGTAAGAGTCGTCGCCCTCACTTACCGGGTAAGACTTTTGGTCCTTGTCCCGCTCTTACCGGGTAAGATTCTTGGTCCTTATCATATTCATCCAGTAAGGTAATGTGATTTGGTAAACACTTACCCGAGTAAACATTTGGTAAACGGCCCCTAAATATTTGGTAAGTATAAATATATACTTAAAAAAGAAAAAAGAAAAACTGTTTATTTATTTCTATTTTTGGTAAAAGATAACATCAACAAGATCCCATGGATACATAGAAGATACCTAATAATGCAATTGCTTTTTGGAATTCCTAACACTATCTTAGGAACCATTTGTTTGAATAGAATGTATAATAAAAGATCAAATGCAAAGGGAATGTGACCCAAATCATAGTAGCTAGTAATAGTATAGTAAGAAAGCAATGAATCAAGTAGAGCAAGTGTGTTACCAATTAGATGATATTGATGATTTAGGCCACAGCAGGCATGTCCTTGAGCCAACCATCCAAGGGTTTCCCGATCGAGTAAACGATGAAACCGATCTCCCGTAGTTTTTCGATATCGACAACGTTCCTTCCATCGAACACAAACGCGGGTTTCTGCATGTTGTCGTATATCCTTTGGAAATCCAAGGTTTTAAACTCGTTCCACTCGGTTAGGATACAAACCGCATGGGAGTCCTTGGCGGCTGCATAAGCGTCCCAAACAACGCTCACTTGTTTCACGGTTGTCGGGCTCATTGGTTGAAGGTGTAGAGGATGGTCCCAATCGAATTTGTTCATAGAAAGATCTCGTTGGATCTGATCTTCGGTGACTTGTGGATCGTAGATGCTTAAACGGGCCTTATCACCCAACAAACCCTTGCAAACGTCGATGGCTGGGGTTTCTCGGGTATCGCCTGTGTCTTTCTTGAAGGCGAAACCAAGGATGGCGATCTTCTTGTTTGAAACAGTGTTGAACATTGAAGCTACAACACGGTTTACAAAACGGGATTTTTGGTAGTCGTTGATCTTGATGACTTGTCTCCAGTATTCTGCTACTTCAGGGAGGCCGTTGCATTCGCAGATGTAGACCAAGTTCAGAATGTCTTTCTGGAAGCAAGAACCGCCAAATCCGACACTGGAATTTAAGAACTTTGGACCGATTCTCGTGTCCTTACCAACGGCATATGAAACCTCACTAACATTTGCACCGGTTGCTTCGCAGAGAGCTGACATCGCATTAACGGAAGAGATTCTCTGTGCCAAGAAGGCATTGGCAGCAAGTTTCGAGAGCTCAGCAGACCATAGATTGGTCGTGATGATGTTTTCTTCCGGGACCCAATGAGCGTAAACATCCTTCAATGTTTTGATTGCTTTTTGGCCTTCTGGGGTTTCCCGGCCACCAATGAGGACTCGATCGGGTTTGAAAAGATCTTCGATAGCAGTTCCCTCGGCGAGAAATTCTGGGTTGGAAAGAATCTGGAAGTTAATTCCGTTGCTGTTATGGGTCAGAATCTTTTCAATCGCCTCGGCTGTTTTAACAGGGACGGTTGATTTCTCAACTACAATTTTATCTGATTTGGAAACATCAGCGATCATACGAGCAGCACTTTCCCAGTATGTTAGATCTGCAGCTTTTCCAGCACCAAGACCTCGAGTCTTGGTTGGGGTATTGACCGAAACAAAGACTATATCGGCCTCGTATACGTGCCTCTCCACATCTGTGCTGAAGAAGAGGTTCTTGCCTCTGCATTGCTTCACGACGTCTTCAAGGCCTGGCTCGTAGATGGGGAGCTGGTCGCTATTCCATGCTGTGATACGAGGCACAGAAATATCAACCACGGCGACTTCGATATCGGGACATTTGAGGGCTATGACAGCCATAGTTGGCCCCCCAACATACCCAGCTCCAATGCAGCAGATCTTCACCATTTTATTGTGTTCCTTCAACGGGATTCTGAACATAATAAGCATATAAAGCCAAATGGTGGGTAAGTATAAACACTGAAACAGAGTCCATTTATACGTATGCAAACTTAAAAATTAGTTCTGTGGTATAGCACTTACGTAGTTACGTTACATACATGACATTAAATGAGTCTCTTAAAATCACATAGAAAAACTTAATGACTTCTCTTTGTAACATCATAAAAAACTTTATCAGAGCATCTGTTTCCCAAAATTTGTCAAAAATGGGAATCAAAATTCAAAATCTCAAAATTCACCTCTAACAGATTTTCTATTTTTATAATTACAACCTTAATTATACTATAAATATTTTTATATATGTAATAAAATATTATCTCTCTCATGAAGATTTAATATAAGGTTTATTATTTGTAGGAATATAATAAAAAATTATTTCCCTCGTGGAAATCATTTTTGCAACATAGAATTTTACACATTCTCACATACCTTCCAAATTCGGAGAACTTTACACATTCTACCGTGCTTTTTTCGTTTTGGAGAATCCATTAAAAATAAAAAATTTGCTTACAATCTCTATTTTCTCCGTTTTAAAGAATCTATTGGAAATGTTGTTATCGGTATACAGAATAAATGAATTACCCCAAAAGACATGAAATTCGTGCCCAAAGATCCTACCAGGTCTGCATTTTTTAAAATCCTACCACCTCCATCCCAACCTCCTCATACATCAAACACACAAGAAATTTACTAATGATCACAATATACATGAAATTCAAGTGTGCAAATCTGCATGACATTTTTATCTTCAAAGCTAGACAGCAGTTCAAGGAGAGCGAAGAACATTAGGTTGAAATCTACTACCTCATGATTCTAGGTGAATACTCGGATCTGCTGCAAATACAAACAACTAGAAAAAGCGCAAAACATAATCTCGATCTGAACAGTCCAGAAATCTAATCAAACCACAACAAAGTCTCCAACTACACGTTGAGTAACCAGTACACATACAGCACAGATCTAGTGAGAATACTTGCGATCAGTAACCGACACCACAAAATTCGCAATTCTAACAAAAACAAATCCAAATTATTCTCGGTGAACACTTGCAGTAACACATGCAAATGGATCTAATCACTTAACTACACACCAAGCCAACAAAATAACGTATACGATCATCTGGAGAACGAATAATGCAATTGAAAACATAAAAAACAAAAGATCAAATCAATTAAACAGAATCATGAACCGATAATCTCACCAATTTGATCGCTAGCTGCTGTTTAGACCACAGGGAGGAAGGGAGAGACGGTGTGTTTGCGCGTTGATTTTAGAAGAAGAATATGCGATAGATCTGTAATATGAATCGAAGAAAGCGGGGAGATGTTTATAAAGTCACTGAAGTTACACAATTTACCCCTAATGTTTGGATAAATTACGTTTAACCTCCCTATATATTTAGCCATGAGTAAATTAGGCTTTTCGTCCACCTGGTTTTGTTGAAAAACACCCACATGTAGGGTTGAGTTTCTATTTGACCAGTTTATTTTCATCAGATTCGTGAGAATTTTTTCACACTTAAAATTTTTCAGTAAAACATCGTGAAGATAAAAAAAAAAACTAACTTTCACAGCAAAAACATTATGAATGTTATCTTTACAGCATTTTAATGTTAAATTTCCAATGTAAAAACGTGGTCTCACAGGTCTCACGAAAACAGCAGGTCTCACGAAAACATGCCCGTTTCACGTGATCCCAAGTCTATATAGGGTTGGGTTCACGTGATACCAGTCTGTTTTCATGAGACTCGTGAGACCACTTTTTTACACTTGAAACTTCACTGTGAAGGTAAAAAAAATGTCGAACCTTCACAGCAAAAACACTGTGAAAGTTACATTCACAACGTTTTACTGTCAAGTTTCAAGTATAAAAAGTGGTCTCACATGATCTCAAGTCTCTTTCTCTCTCTCTCTCTCTCTCTATATATATATATATATATGTGTGTGTTATATACACACACATACACACATACACACATACATACATACACACATACATACACACATACATACACACACACATACATACATACATACATACATACATACATACATACATACATACATACATACATACATACATACATACATACATACATACATACATACATATATAGGGGTATGTTCTTTTGTTATCCGAATTTATGGTATTAACTTTGTAAACTCATCACAATCATCCATTTTGTGAATCAATGGATGACATTTATGATGACAGTTTTATAATAACTAATAATATATTACATTATCATCTAAGTTGAATATACATGAACAATAGTATTATTGGAAAAAAAATTCATAAAGCCTATAACTCCCCATAATGACATTAATATTCATATAAACATTAATCTAACCAAAGGGTCTTTGTCCTAGCGGTATCGTAGCCCTTGGCCTTCTAGAAAGTCAGATGTTCAAACCTCACCATAGGTGAAGAGGGTGTGTGAGTTTATTTGTTGCATTTGTCGTATATAAATATTATATACTTCGAAAAAAACATTAATCTATTGTCATAATTAATAAAAAAAATCTTCATCATTATGAACATTAATATACACATGGGCATCTCCTCCTATATGAAATGAGTTCACTTATGAACAATGTTGTTATGTTCATTAATATATGAACAATGTTCACAAAAGTTCACTTGGTTATTCCATATTTTCATATATTAACAGACAATTAACATTATATATTTATGGAAATATGTTCACCGGTGATTTCACGATATTTTTCCTCCATTACGTTCTTATCACCGGAAACGACATTAACAATACACTTCAAAAATGTTTACTTGTGATTTGTTCACTCGAATTAACAATTTACCCATTGTGTATATTAATATTCACATTTTCAAAAATGTATACTTGTGATTTATTCACTCAAATTAACAGTTTCATCAAGATTAATTTTATTAAATAATAATACATTGTGTAATTTGAATAATCAATCATAATTCCAATAATAAGCAACTTTTAAATTGTAACCAGTTATTAACTAATACAAAATGTAACCTACGTATATGTATAATTTACCATTATGTCTTCATCCCATTATCAATACTTTATTGAAACTTATCACAAATAATGAATCATATTGGTCCACTAGATTAACATAGTTAACACTAAAAATTAAATTAATAAAAGAACCTAAGGGGGCGTTTGGTTCGTAGAATGAAATTCGATGGAATTGGAATTTATCAAATGAATTTGACTTTGAGGGAATGGAATGAAATCTGATGGAATTTGACTATGCCTTGTGATTGCGTTTGGTTGCATGAAATTGGAATGAAATTCTTAACGAAATTGGAATTTTTTTTGTTTGGTTCACGGAATTCAACTTTGGAATCGGAATTAAATATCAACAAATGACTTTTTAGGATTTTTTTGTCATTTTTTTTAAATTAAAATTACCATTAAACCAAATTACATTATTAACATCAGATAAAATTTGAAATTGTTTACTTATATTACTAATATCTGAAATTTGGATGAGGGCTAAGGAATTCGTAGGAAAGGAATTTGAAATCCTAGTACATCAAGTGGCATCGTGAAATCGATGACCGAATGAATTTGTAGGAATTGAAAAGATTCCTTCACTTATAATCTGTGAACCAAACATCATATTTGGAATTTGGTCAAAGGATTGGACATTCCAATTCCTTTCAATTCCATCAAATTCCCATGATCCAAACAGCCCCTAACTCTCTCTCTCTCTCTCTATATATATATATATATGTGTGTGTGTGTGTGTGTAACTATAATGAATGTAAACGGGTATAAATGAAAAAAAAAATTAATGAACATAAATGAATGAACGAGATCATTGTCCATGTTTATTCATGTAACTAAGGGGTCGTTTATCAAATGCTTACCCGAATACGCGTTTACCAAGTCACGTTACCTAACCGAATGAATATGGTAAGGAACAAGAATCTTACCCAGTAAGTAAGGTTGATGAATCTTACCATGGTAAGCGCTTACCAGATAAATTGTTACATGCGATGTTGTTTTGGTGGACTAAAATCTTACTCAGTAAGTAAATAGTAGTATTAAATTTTACCGGTAAGAACTTACCGAGTAAGTATTGGGTAAACGGCCCCTTAAATGAACAAAAAAATGTGTTAATGTTTGTTCGTTTATTAAACAAACGAACTTCCCGCTAAATGGTTCACGAATGATTCGTTGAATGTTCGATTCGTTTACAGCCCTAGTTATTTTAACATTGACGGATCTATGAAGGCCCCAGCAGGATACTATGCACCCGTTCAACCAATTTTTGCAACCACAATTTTTTTTGAGAATTAAAGATGCATATGGTAATTTTTGAGGGGTGCTTCAGGATATTAGAAAATACAAAGGACATCAACCAAAAAAGCTTTTAAAAAATACCTCAAAAAAAATAAAATCTGATTAAAAACACATTAAATAACTTTGCAGGTATTTGATTCACCTTAAAAAAAACACTCACTTGACAAAAACCATGGGTTAATGATTGTATTCTAAGTTGAACTATTTGCTAAAAACCAATCCTTTTATTAACAAATTTTAAAACTTCGTTGACCAAATTAAAACCTATGAGAAAAATTATTGTCCTTTTTGGCATTTACTCAAAAGAAATTATGACCGACAATCACACGTTAAAAAACCATTAAAATCGGCCCGGCCTAGCATGGGATTGTAGAAGAATCGGAACCAGGACCGGTTGAGGGACCATCGATCGGGACCGGTTATGCTTTTGGATGGATTTGTGGGACCGGCCCGGCCCGGTGAGTTAAAAAAAGATCTGTTTTTTGACCGTTGGAAACGTTTATATGACCTTTTTTTTGCGATGATGAGAAACTCGACATTGATGACCAATAGGCTATCAGAAGAATTCAAGAGACCGGAAGTCTTCAAATCAATCTGACATATGATACCGATGATGAATAAGTGTATTTTCAAAGAATTGAATATTTGAATATAATTTTAATTGTAATAAAACGTATTTTTAAAGTGTATTTGAGTGATCCAATTAAAAAATTTATAATGTATTCAAAAAATCAATCATTAAAAAAATATATATTTCTTTTTGGCAGGGACCTGTTGGGACTGGTTACCCATAACTGGTTATGGATCAAGTTAAACGGGCTCGAGTTTGATGACCGAGACCGGGACCGGTTATGAGCACCACTATTCCGGCCATCACTATTCAACAGCGAGCCCCCTACTGGGGGGCCCACTATGTTAAAAACGACAGTTTAGAATAGAGAAATTATCATCTGCTGGAGATGCTCTACAAAAAATAATTACTATAGAATTCCGAAGTATCTTCGAGAGTTGATGAAAACTTTCCTTTTGAGCGTTTCATCTTCTCTATAAAAGCAAAACTCGAACAGATAGAACGAATGGTCAGACTACATAACGTTTTCTGTTTCGTTATTCCCATGGTCGTGCCACGTGGCGTGACAACACCCAATTTCTTAATACTTCGACGCAAATGGAAAACACAATATACAAGCTAATTTTAAGTGTCTGGTACAGCTCTCGATATGAAAAACGAACAAAAAGTATTATGACTTGAGAGAGTTGGTTTCGTTGAGAATGAAAGTTATGGTGAAAAAGGTATAAAGAGATTTCCACATTTGGATCAATCATAATCAAAGAGAACCATTTGATCAACACTAATAAGATACACTAGATCAATTCCTTTTTAAAACATAATTCATGGGCTGTTTTGGGATTACAAATGATCAAGGGTCCAAATTCATTCTTACATTTCTCATTTTAACTTTTATTCTCACATGATCATTTGTTATCACTTATAAACCTTTAATAATGATAACTAATAAATAAATAAATTTTCAATTTAATATTTCAAAACCAAAATTAATTTATATTTATACAACTTAAATTATATGAACTCTAAAATAAATGAACTTCATTTACCAAGCAGGTGGTCGCACTGGGATTAATCGGCTCGCATAGCGGCTTGGATATCCAGGTTAATAAAAAAAACGAACTTCATACAAATATTAATGATTGTCTGATAACCTAAGTAACTTGTTTTAAACATTAAGTGGTTACTATACGGACGTGATAAATGACATTACAGCCAACTCAAATTTATTTATTTATTGAAGTGTATAATATTTATATACGGCAATGCAACAAATGAACTCACATATTCTTCTCATCTTTGGTGAGGTTTGAACCTCTGACCTCCTAGGAGGCCAAAGACTACGGTACCGCTAGGCCAAAGGTAGGTGTGTTCATCGGTTGAGATCCAATGGAGTAGGTGGATCTGATCTGACCCGATCATCCATTGCATGTTAGATTTTGTTATCCGATCCAAACCGATTAACATTGGACATCCCATCCGATCCGATCCGATCCAAATCCAGTGGATGATTAGATCGGATCGGTTCCATCCATTGGATGTTACTATTTGGCTATCCATTGGATCGTATTTTATTTATCAAATCCTTCGATCCAATACTCAACCAATTATTCAGATTTGATAAATACTGATAACTCTCGGATTGAGTATTAAAACGGAAATATTCATTAGATAATGAACTATTGGTTTTGTATATTTTCTTAAGTTATTAAAAAAATGGATATAAATATCAATTAAAAAAACAAAATCGTAAAATATTAATAATTATATATAGTTATTAATTGGATGCTAGTTGGATGGTCATTGTATTGGATCAATTCGGTTTTATTAGATGTTGGACTGCCATCTAAGAATCCACCGATCCGATTTGGATGCTGAAATTTTGGATCCGATCCGATCCAATTACAATTGGATATCCAATGACGACGGTCGGTTCTAATTGAATCGCTCGGTTGATATTGAATCATATGACTTTCTGCACACCCTTAACCAAAGACGCTTTGGTAATTTATTTCTTGACATGGCTTATTCAGTTATTTTCAAATTATCAAAGAAAAAACTCAAAATAATATTTTAAATATAATTATGGTGGATCTGAAAATTTAAATATATATATATATATATATATATAATTAATAAAATACGATTTTTTTAATTACCGACAAAAACTATAATATTTTAATAACTGATTTAATTTAATTAACCAAAAATATTATTAAACGTTTAAAGCTTTAACTTGAAAAGAAAGACTCAAAAGTCAAAATTGCTTGGAGTTGAAAAAGTGAGTGGAGTGAAATGCAAGCCTCATTCTAATAATAACGTTGAGGTTTTTTTTATATAAATAACATGTGATTATTTAAATTAGGTGAAAATTTGGTAACAAGATCTCACGTTTTAAATCTGATTTTGTCTTTGTTTTTTTGGTAGCGTTTGGTACACAGATATGATTAGAGATTGAATATGACAGAATTGGACAATACAAGATAAATTGTCTATCTGATGTTTGGTATGACTAGGGTTTGATAAGACATAAGTAGACAAGTTGCCTCAAAAAATTGTTTGATAATTCTATACACCAGATAATAGTTATTAATGATACAAGTGAATATTAAATAATTTAGTGGTTATTTTTTAAAAATTCTTAAAAAATGGTTATTTTGTTAATGTAGAGTGTATAAATTGGTTATTTTGGTTAAATTCTGTTTGAAATTTGAGGGATTTGACTTTAGAAAGATTTGAAATCTTTGGTGTATTGATTTTTGTATGATTTGGAATGTAATTGAATTTTATTCTTTATAAATAATTTATAAAAACAAATTATAAATAATTAAATTACATTTTTCATTAATTGATTAGAAATCAAATGTTTTTAATATAATTTTAAATATTATTACATACAAATCCTATCAAATCTCATGAAATATTTTTCTGAGTTCAATGAAATCCAAATCCGAATAATCCTTCAAACCAAACATGGAATTGGAAAAAAATTCATTCTAAATCCAATCTAATCCTACATGCCAAACGAGACCTTAAAAATATCATAATTGGACAAATTGAATGAAAAAATAACGTACTTTAACTTGATTTCTATTTTAGGTAATGTACTTTCAAAACTTTCATTGTGGTACCTAAGATGTAAAGTTTTAAACATTTAAGTACCCGGGTAAGCGGTTGAAGCATTAACTAGTTATCATTCTGATATGACGAGTGATGTAGTATTCAAATCCATATTATTTGCTTTAATTTTAACCAAATTAAGTAAGGCATAAAACAACTAAATTGCTCAAATATGAATTAAGTAGATATCAAAACCTATAACAACTTTTAGTTGTTATCTTTAAGACCCTATCAGATTATTCGAGTTGCGTGCAAGCTGAATCAGATACCATGACATTGGTTCTCAATGATGAAGACACAGAAGATGAAAATGGAGGCGCTGCATTTCGAGTATGAGAGAGTTGCAGGTGCATTTCTCCAGTGGGTGTCGTTAAACCGGTATACATAAGTCTGTTTCGCCTGTAGGGAGTCGACGTGAGCTTTAATGTTAACCGGAGTTTGGCGAGGTGAAGTTCATCGTTTCAGCCGTTACATGAAAGGGTTAGGGAAGATTTGGTGGTTAATGACTTCGTGTGTATATATAATATGTAAATATACTTTATTATCTGTTACAAAGAAAAAAACAAAAAAGATGAGTTAAATCACCAAATTGCCCATGAGTTAACAAAATTGGAGCAGACTCTGTTAGGGATAAGGACCAAAACGCAACAAAAGGCAAACACAAGGACATTATGTGTACTTATTTTCAAAAAAAGGACCATATCCATATTATGAACAAACCGTAGGACCTACGGTGTAATTTACTCAAGAATTGATTCTAAATAGATTCAACTTCAAGATCGCAATTCGCCTTATTATCATGCTTTTCCACCTTTTTCTTAGAAGCAATTGCGGTCTCCATACCTTCACTTGTTGAGAGGGGAGTAATCGGAGAGAAAGAGAGGTATAGTGCCAAGTTCGTACATTGAGGAAGTCATAATTCTTTAGATGTGTTGATCGATGATTGATGGGGTTAAGGTTTGTGGTTAGATCAAATAATCAGCGATGTCGTCAAATTTTGGATTGGTGGCATCGAAATGGCAGCTTGGCTACAGTGGTCAGACAAGTGGTTGACGAAATGATGCTTTCCAGACTTGTTAAAGTTAAGATCCCACTTTCAGACTTTTCACTAAATCTTAGGGACCAAAATTATAATTTACTCTATCAACTCTCAAATATATGTGCATTAATTAACGGAGTTAGAAAAATTAGTTCTCTATTTTTTAAACCACATTTATTTTAAAATAAACATAAATATAAATATGAAAATTTTGGGATAGCAAAAGTATGCTTTAGCACGTTTTTTAACAATAATGTCATAAATAATGGTTACTTCTATCCTAAAATAAGCGTCCACAATTCTATATTTTTGTTTTGAGTTTGTCCTAAAAATAAAGGGTCGTTTACTAAACACTTTCCCAGTAAGTGTTTACCGGTAAAATTTAACACTATTATTTACTTACCGGGTAAAATTTTAATCCATCAAAACGACATTGTATGCAATAATTCACCCGATAAGCACTTACCACGGTAAGAGTCGTCGCCCTCACTTACCGGATAAGACTCATGGTCTTTGTCTCGCTCTTACCGGGTAAGATTTATTAGACCTTACCATATTCATCCGGTGAGGTAATGTGACTTGGTAAACGCTTACTCAGGTAAGTGTTTAGTAGACGGCCCCTAAGTTTCTATTCTCCTTCTACCGTTAATTAATTAAAAATGTAATTAATTATACATTTCCAAAACTAGGGGTGTTCATCGGTTAAAATCTAATGATTTAGGTGGATTGGATTCGATCTGGTTAACATTGGATATCTGATACGATCCAAATTCAATGGATGATTGGATCGGATTGATTTCATCCATTGGTTATCCATTAGATCAAATTAGATTCGTCCATAATCTGATCCAACATTCAACCAATTAATCCACTATTTTAACCAATTATTCATATATTTTCTTAAGTTATTAAAAAACAACATATAATAATATCAACTCAAAAACAATATCATAAAATGTTAATAATTATATATAGTTATTAATTCGATATTAGTTGGATGACAATTGAATGGTCATTAAATTGGATTTGTTTGCTTTTATTGGATGTTGGACTGTCATTTAAGAACTGACCGATCCGATTTGGATGTTGAAATTTTGGGTCTGATATCCAATTATGGTTGATCGGTTCTAATTGGATCGGTCGGTTTAAATTGGATCGCATGAATTTCTACATACCCCCATCCAAAACTATGTTACTATGTTTTTTATTATTATTCTGGACATTTTTTTGGGGGGGAGTAATCTATAGAACACAGAGTAATTAAGGAGGCCAGGTTACAATCAGATACGGTTTCTCCTCCGGTTCGCTTACCGTTTTACCTAAAGGTGTAAATGAGTCGAGCTTTTAACGAACTACTCGAGCTTAATAATTCTCAAGTTCGAGTCGAACTCGAACATAAAATAAAGCTCGCTTGACTTAACGAGTCAAACTCCATAACACCAATATTCAAGTCAACTCGTTTGAAAGCTCAGTTAAACTTTACAAGCTAAGCCAAACATATTTATATGTTTACAAATTACATAATCAAAATATAAAAATCATAGACCTTGAGCAAATAAACAAGTTAATCGATTCAGAGTCCAAGCTCATAAACGAGCATAGGTCGAGTTCCTGATATAATTTTTCGGTTCGAGCTCGAATAACCTGCTACTCAACTCGACTCAACTTGACTCATTTACGCCCCTAGTTTTCCCAGCGAAACTAAAGATAAGACACCTAAAAACGTAGAACTAAATTCACCAGAAAAAAATAGAAAATAACACTAAGAAATTAGATCCAAGAAAACATGAATGTACAGATAAGGAATAGGGTTACGGTCCTAAACTATATCTCAATCTATCGTAATAATATACAAACGCCCAGACCCAGAGGGTGCACCCGCCCCTCAAAATACACCTACGCCCCACCCTATGCCCCCACAGTTTCAAAAACAGAATCATTAAGAAGAAAGGAACCTTCAAAAATAAGAGCAATTTGGGTACTAAAAGAGAGCCTATTTTAGTAGTGGGGAAAGTTGCAAAAAATTGAAGGGAATTGGAGTGCAATTACCTGCATATTGAACCCAGGCTTCTTTCTTCTCTTCTTATAAGATTCTCATCTTCAGTGTTTTTTCTTCTTTCTTCTTCTTCGTCTACTACCAGCTGTACATGTTAGATTGTACCTGTATGGTGTATTTACAATTATAACCTTTGTCTACTTCTGGTACTAATACTGCCTTTTCTCCCACTACGGGCCCCGCTACCCCAATACTCATCGTCATCGTCATCATCGTCGTCTCCACCGTTCATACGAGCTGTTTTCGGCCTTCTTCCGGGAGGCCGTTTCCGTTTAATATTTGCTGTATAGACGGAGTAGTCGACCGTGTCTTCTTTCAACGCGTTCTTGAATTCCTGTTCAGGATGAAAATATTATAATAATAAGGAGAAGATATTGGCCCGCGATCCCAACCTCTATGGAGGTCAACCGTTCAAACCTCACTTCACATTTTTTTTAGGAGTGGGTGAGACATTTGCGGTATATAAATATTGTATATACTTCAGAAAAGAAAAACACATTTAGGGAGCATTTGGTTTGACGGAATGTTTTCGAGGGATCTCGGATTTCGTGGAAGGATTTCGAATGGGAAAGATTTGGAATCTTTGGTGTGTTTCGTTTGTAGGATTTGAAATGGAATTGAAATTCATTCTTTATAGATAATTTATAAAAATAAATTATAAATAATTACAAAAATAACTATTTAATTGATTAATACAATATAAATATTTAAACATATTTTAGAACATTATTACATACAAATCCTATGAAACCCGATGAAATACCAACTACCCCGATGGGATTTCTAAATCCAAAGTTCGTGAGGTTTCACAGATTTCAATTCCGTACTTTCGTTTAAACCAAACTCGGGATTGAAATGGAATCCAACCCCAAATCCCACAAACCAAACGGCTCTTGGTACGTGCGACTAGTAGAAAAGATAAGCGCATCTCCAGCAGAATCATCCAAAACAAAAAAAATAGAGATTTTGGATAAAAGTTGGTTTCAACAAAATCCCGAAATCATTCTCCAAAATGGAGAAACTGTTGAAGTTGAATCTATTTTTTGGGAACTTTTGACTTTCAGTTCTCTATTTCGAAGAATTTATAGAGAAACTGTTGAAGATGCTCTAGCACGGTCTAAGACTCGGATGACGCATAGATTAAAATCTATATTTCAAATTGTTCCTAAATCAGAATCAAATTACCTGATATCTTTGTACGATCTCGTGGTATGTGGTCGGTCGACTAATACTTATCTCACCGACATTGAATGGAATATTCTGCCGTGAAAGGAACTCCCCCGGCTTCGGTGGGTCAGTCGGAGAAAAAGCCTACAAAAACCATGGAGCCACATCGAATGCAAATTCGTACATAACTAAGTCGCACAAAAATAAAAGACATTATTCCCTTCATTATATAAGAATCCTTTCGTACATCATAATTCAAGTATTCTTTTTTTGTTCTAAAAAGAGCAAATTGCATCGAAATGAACGAAACTTGTCTTAGTTCCTATTTAGTGTAACAAAACATTTTTTTCTCAATCAATTTAACAAAATTTTAAATTTTCCTTAACGAAATTCCAAAATTTCCTATATTATGTAACAAAATGGACACAGTTTTAGACATGTGTAATTATTTCATTTTTTAATTAACCAGATGACAATTTAATTAATTAATTTATCTATCTTAGCAACTCTTAAATATTTTTACATTAATTAAGGGAAGATTTGAAAATTTAGTTATCAACTTTAGAAATTCTACACTTATTTTGCGACGGAGGGAGTGCCCATTTTGACCAGTAACCTGCTAGTTTTGTAATTTGATGACGTGCATTTCAGTTTAACCTCCATTTTGCCATAATCCTTTCATAAACGGGTATCCACGCATCAAATGTTGAAAGATCAACTGATTACCGGTCAGAATGGGTGCAAAATAGAAAATTCTAAAGCTTTGTTACATCGATTGAATTAAAAAAAAATCTTGGTTACACTAAATCAAAAGTCAAAACTATGTTGCATTTCGCCCTTTTAAAATAACATGAATTTCGTTAAACTATATGCTCAAATGTGGACTCTTTTTGAACTCCTACTGTCCTGCTACCAAACATTCTTACTCGGCTAAGGGCTAGAAGAGTGGAATAAGAGAGAGCGGCTCGATCGACAAAAAAATATGCCCCATGTTAAAAAAAGCAGCTGAAAGAGAATCCTAAGCATGATGTCTACCGTGGGAATGGAGCATTATTATTAGTAAAAAAGAAATACCTGGCAACGAGCGTCATCTAAACCATATATTATTTTTAGGTGCCTTTTGAGCTTCAGAAGTAGTTGCAGAGAACAAGCTGCAAGGCAGTCGGCCTGCATCACATCAACATTTTGAGCATGCCGATTTTCACTAAACAAGTATAGACTATATGCAATCAAGTAAATGATATCGATCATGATCTGAAGGCATGTTATAAAAGTCAAACCAAGCAAACCCTGTAAATCTCATGCAAAGGTAGGGTCTAAACGTAGGATGTACGCATACCTTCTCTCTACCCCAGGGGATAGAGAGGTTTCCATGAAGTCCCCCGGCTTGCCAAAAAAAAAAGCGAACAAGCGACATGAGAGTGTGGGCGATGCAAAAAATAGGTTAAAACAAAGACGGAAACACAAAAGGCAGTACTGGCAACTACTAGTGGAAGAAGAAACTCCGTTCACTGCCTTCTCTCCRGAACTCCAGTTTGGCTTGATTACTGGAACTCAAAAGCCCTAGCTTCTCTTACCTTCTAGAAAAAACTAATAGTAAAGTATAGTAAAAGATCACACAAGTACAATGAAATGCAAATAATAATGCCGTGTTTAGCAACCATAGGCTAGCTTATTTTTGAGCTTATTGAAAATTCCCGTTTGGTTACCTAGCTTATAAGCTCCGGGGTTTTTTCCCACCTTTTTTCCAGCTACGCCCCTTATATTTTTCAAATTAATTTTTCAACAGGTCCTTTTAGGTCATTTACATTGTCATCTTGCTTATCAGCTAGTTTTTACCAAACATGACTAGTTTGTCAAATAGGACCTAAGACTAAAAAATTTCCTACAATATGTTATCATGTAATATTTTAATTAAACACTATGGGAACAAATGAAACATATAACTAAGTAAAAGCATAAGCAATTACTAATATCAATTGCATGATTCCTCTACCTGGATGCTTGGCAGATCATCTAAAGAGATGACATAAGGGTTGACCAGGTTCATAGAATGTTGATCAAGCTCCATGGGAACAGAAGCAATCTCACTGGGGAACTCTTGTCCAACCGTCCAATTCCTGTCTACAAATGCATTTTCGCCAGAAACAGGTTGATCGAATTGTTCCTTCTGTATTACCCCATTTGCAGGTTCTTTCCGATTATGCCCTTGCAACTTATGCAAGAATGTTTTCATATTTGCCTCTATTGCCCCAGCCCTAACTTGTATAACTCTATTTATAGCGTAAATCAAATACAGAGGCTCTTCAGGTAATCCGAAAGGGAGTAAAGAGAGGATCTCTGTGCAGTATCTGAGAAAAAAAGAAGCAAGTTCAAGCCAAACTGCAAAACGTAACTGGTCAAGAACTTACAATGAGAATCGAAGAGAACCCACATCAGAAAAGGGACGACTGAGTTATGCCAGCCAGGAGTGTCGAATTTGCGAACAATTGAAGACATAAATTTATTTCTCGACACACGATTTCCACGAATAACCTTGTAAATTCGAGAAACGCCCAATCTTGCATAAGAGAAGGAACTACCATCCGGTTTCCCCTTAGGTGACTTGGTTTGGAGTTTTGGGTTTGAATTTTCAGAAAAACTTTGACCCATTGATTGCATGAAAATAAACGACATCTGAAGTCCATCCCCAAGACGACTTTCAAAAAAGGCAGGATACCTGAAAATATGCTTATGTATATTAGGCATGAGTGCATCAAGAAAGGATTCCCTTAGTCCTATAACTACTCCCTCCGTCCCAAAATGAGTGCCCACATTTCTATCTTAGTTTGTCCCAAAATAAAGGTCCACTTTCAAAAGTAAGTGTCCACTTTCCAATTCTACCCTCTATTATGAGATGAAGAATTTCATTACTTCCTCTATTATTAAGGGTAAACTTATCATTTAGTTAATGAAAAAGTGTAATAGACACAACATTGCTAAAATTGTGCCTTTTTCATTGTGACCATTTATTTTGGCCCAGTGGGAGTATCGTACAAATTCTTCATTTGGGATATTTCCCACTTGCAGAAAACTTGTGTGAACATCAGTATGATGAACCCAATACGGCAGGTGCATATTAAAACACCATGTGCAAAAAAGAATACAGAATCACCTTTGTCATGAATAGGTTTTGTGGCAACTAATTGCATTTTTAAAAAGCAATAAATTGGGATTAAGGGAGTAATGACAAAAAAAAGGTGCGAGAGGGAGTACTTTTCATTCATATTCATCAGCAAATGATGAGCCAGCTTTGAATTTGCCTCCTGTGGATCTGTTTCAAGTGCTATAAGGTATGGAACACAAGTAATGGGATGAACTAAACCTTGGCGCAGCACGATTTCCACGATCTGTTTCACAGGAGCAGTAAATAGTAAGTTCGGTTAAAAAAGGGGTAGGTACCAGGTAATGAGTCTGCAGTTCCATTTTGCAGGCTTTATATGTCATAAGTTCAACTTCTTATTGTATTCATGTAAAACTGGTCGTGTAACATAGCTGAAAAAAATCTCCTAACCAAAAACACAGATTACATCCACTCGAGAATAATTTGTATTGGTAAGATCAGTCCACTATAAACCACTAGGCATATAAAACTTCAGACAAACATGTAAAAGCTTGTCACCTTAATCGCAAGTGTTCAGTTGAATACAAACATCTGCCTAAAATACCATTCCAATATAACTGAATGATTTCTAGCTAAACCAATCAGCAGCCATATGGTTTCTAGCTAAACCAAAATGGTTAAAGAAGGCATACGCTAGCATAGGGTACTAAGGGCCTGTTTGTTAGCGGCTTAATGAGCTTAATGGGCTATACATGAATATTAAGTAGTGGCTTATTCAATAAGTTTTTAAGTGGAAGCTTTATGCAGAAAGCCAAGTTTTTTTCAAACATACCCCTCCCAATTAAAAAAACACGCCCCTTCCAATTATGAGAAAACCTTCCCAATCCATAAAAACATATTAATCCACACAGACAACTTTGTCTATATGGGACTAAATGGAAAACCAACCAAACAGCCCCTAACAGAAGGAATATTTTCTGGGATGTATTCCAGAAAATATTACATCCATTCGTGAATAATTCATATTAGTAAGAGCAGTCAACTATAAACCACAAGGCATACAAAACTCCAAAGAAAAAAAAGGGTCACCTTGATAGCAGACTGACGCACTTGCTCATTCGCATCCAAACATCTGCCTAAAATGCTATTCCAATATAACTGAATGATTCCTCCACAGATGTTAGTATCACCTGCACCTGCAGCAACTGGCACACTTCGGCCCGCATCTGTATTATAAGTTACTGTATCATTTTCAGCTTTATCATTCTCCATCTGGCTTTCTGCATCTAGAAGGTACTCATACACATTCTGTAGTGATTGCATCTGATGACAAAAAAAAAGTAAAAAATTGAACGTGCTGAGGGCCCAGAGAGTCGCCCTATATCAGAACCCTAGTTACATAGTGTTTTCACCTTCAGACGAGCATCAGAGCTAGAAGAAAGTGTCGCCTCTAAGATATTTTCGATCTCCTTCTCCAACATAAATTCAGGCCGAGCAATTAAAACATAACCTAACGCCTACAAACATGATGGTTGGATGAGAAATATGTAATGGAAAATGGGAAAAAGAAAAAGAGGACGGATTACCTGCAACGATCTGATTTTTAAAGCAAAATCCTCTGCATAGAAGTACTTCTTAAACACGCTGAGACTGCTGACAACATCCACATTCTGTTTGCTGGACAAAGACATACCCAGCAAAGAGCTTCCATAGCGAATAAGCAATCCAAGGCAGAAAAGGGACCGGCCCACTTGCTGAAAACAATCATGAATGAGTTTGTCTAAGTTGTTTTCTAATTCTGGGAAGTGTACAATAACAAGTATTTATCATGGACCAGGTGTTTTAGGCTGAGGAAAGCAAAAAAAATTATAAAGCACTGGTAAAATTAAAGAACTTAAGGAAGTGAATCTTCATAGGTATACAGAACCATAAATGGTGTCTTACTGCACCTCCAATCTACAATCAACTCCTACTCTATAGGCCACAGATGCAAGTTTCACTTCAACCCCCCCCCCCCCTCTTTTCTCAAAATGTCAATTTCAGCCATCCTTTACCTCTCCTAAGGACCTCCTAATGGTACAAGTTTCCTCTTCTGACCAGTGTATTCAAAGGCCTACGTTAGAGATGGTGAAACCACCTTCAAAGGTGCTGACGTAGCTTCTCCTCAACTGTTGCCACCCAACCTTCTATCAGACGAAGGATCGTGTGAGAATAGGAGTTAAAGTCAGAAGTGTAAGAAGGGATTTGGACCCTTGATCACTTTTAATCCCAAAACAACCCATGAATTGCGCTTTAGAAGGGAATTGATCCAGTGTATCTCATTAGTGTTGATCTAGTGGTTCTCTTCGATTAGGATTTGATCTAAAGGATGGAGATCCCTTCTTACCCTTCTCACTATAACTTTCATTCTCACCAGAAACCAACCCCCTTGTATCATATATCCTCGTTTAATATCCTTCATTGTACACCGGTTGGTATAAAATCTCTCATGGGTAAAATTTAAAAGAAATATGATAAACATAAAACTTATACAAGAGTTAAGCAAGAAGGGAGGACTTGTAATCAACAAGAGATCAACTTAGCACTTTAAAGGTTCTAGGAGCACCAAGTTCAATATGTTACATAATACACACACAAAACAATGTCAGTTAAAACATAAGACAGCACTCTAAGATAAGATATCAAGACGTTTTAATAGGTCATCACCTGCTTGTTATCAAAACCCAGAGCATCCAAACGTTTGAAGAACACTTGAATAAGATATCCAATAACAGATGCACCCTTTCCTGCAACTTTACTCAAGGAGCAAAGACACCTGTAGGTTCACAAATTATTATCATTAACACAGATAAGAAAAGGTATATGAGGAAGTTAATGGGTGACAGAGAAGCATAAATTGATGAGAGCTGTTATAGCATGACCGAGGTTTATAAGAGGATAAATTGCTAACTTATAGACAATTATATTTCAATCATGACATGTTTGAACACAACACACTCGTATGTATAGAACAAGACTATTTGAAGGGTTGTGGAAGGAAGTGAAAAACTAGTAATATACCATGGAGAGAATGACTAATTTGGTTTCTGAGATAAGCGCTTTCAATTCAGTCATAACATACCATCAAGATGGTAGCTCTCATCCTTACCAGAGATGGACACGCCACTGGTCAAATTAAAGCAAGAAAGGCTGTTTTAAGCTAAACCAGATTTAACAACCCCACCGTTAAAAAAGTAAAACGTCGATATATGGTTCGAATCAGCATTTGACTATTCAAATCTTCAAAAAAAAGCCACCTGGGATTTTTAAACTAAACATATCAAACCTAGCATCATCTATCACTAAACATATCCAATATTTGGCAGTCAACCGCATATTACATTTACACAGACTGATTTAGAGAAATTTTACAAATAGCCAAAAACACATATAAGAATTCAGCACAAAATCTATGCAAACAATAAGCCATGACCCATTGTCCATAATCCATACACCAACATAAATTGATGATTTGCTTGATAAGTATTATAAAATAGATTAGAACATTTAAACAGACAATCGCAGAGATATAACGATATAGTGCTATCAGTGTTGAACATCTGTGCAGAATACATAAACAAAGGCATACATGATGCACCAGAGAAAACTAGACACAAAAGAATTCCAATCATATAACCAAACAAATTATTCAGCAACTTTAGGCAAGAACTTAAAAGAAAGTGTACAAACAATTGGAACAGATATGGACTATTTTTAAGAACTAAGGGGCTGTTTGGTTCACGCAGGGGAATGAAAATGGGAATGAATTTTCATTCCTCCCAGATTAACCTGGAATGAAAATTTGGGCCTAGTGGGGGAATGATCCCATAATATTATATAAAACCAAACGGTTTCTTTTATTTTCAATCCCTTTAATTATTGGTTAATACCTCTAACCAAAAACCCCTAAAAGTATAACAATTCAAGGAATAAGAGTGGTGAAGAATGCACTGTACTTGATGCAAGCATGCACGACAGTCAAAAATGAATGTCGAACGATCATCTGCTTCAAATCTTGTTCAAGATCTTCAACTACACTTTGAGGAAGCTTTCGTAGCAAGGGCATAACAGAGTCGATCACAAACACTATACTTTCCACTAGCTGTGCAACTGCTCGATTGTCAGCCTGATACAAACATCACCAAGCTAAAGCGCAGTGCCAGAAGTGACAATTATGTGTATGAATAATGATGCCTCAAATTTTTGCATGATATATAAATTAAGAAAGAAATGGGCCATAGAAGCTAAATGAAAATGAGCAGAGATCATATGAGAATTCAGCAATTTATTTTCCTTATTCACACATTCACAGTGTGACATCAAATTTTATTCCCTTGCTTATACATTGAGGAGAATGTGAATAGTCGTCAATAACCACATACAAGGTTGATAATTAGAATAATTTCCCACTCTCTCCTTACTAATCTACAATCCCAACCATTCCTGCTTTGCACTGTGAATGCATGAGCTCCTCGTTGCATGTGGCTTTCCACTATGAACCAACAAGTTATTCTCTGTTGCATACCTCATTATCCATCCCAAAAATTCTACTTCTAGCAAGTTAAATAGAGAAATTGGTTCGCCCATATGTCTAATAGCTCAATATACTTGAAGTGCAAAAGACTCAGATCTCACAAATATGAGAAATTCCCATGCATAAAAATCAAGGTTATACTAAACTTGCTGACATATAACACTCCTGCCTTCTGTTGGAGTCCAACATCGGCTAGACTTGGACCATTTCTCCTATATATATGTTGGAACCTCCTTTTTCTCCTCAAGGGCTCTTTTGGAAATTAATCTGGGAGTTCCACATATTCTCACATGGTATAGAGCCAAAGTCTATCACTCTAGGGACTCGACACTCGTGCTAGCCTCCTCTCGATCATCTAGCCTCCGTTGGAGGGGGAGTGTTGGAGTCCCTCATCGGCTAGACTTTGACCATTTCTCCTGTATAGATGTTGCACCCCCCCCCCCCCTTTTCTCCTCAAGGGCTCTTTTAGAGATTAATCTAGGAGTTCAACATATTCTCACACCTTCCAAAGACCAAACATGAGGTAAAAATAAAGATCTGGGGAAGGAGTGAAGGACCAACATAAATCTCTGTATTAAATGCTAAAGTGGCTTATTTGTTTTGGTGACTAAAGATCCTCCATACGACACAATGGGTATCACAAGCCACACATAATTAGTGCTAATTCTACCATAATTCATGAGAGTTCTCTAAATACTAAAAGCAATTACTGATAACCTGTTTCTTTAAATAGGGCTGCAACGTCACCACAAACTGGGAAGGATTAGAGGCCGGAGCACAAAGTGCAGGATCCACTAGACAGAAAGCGTGCAAGAGTAACACATAGTGCAGTGCACCCACATCCTCATTTATATTCATTTCCTCCACCTACAGTTTACAGGTTAAAAGTCGAAGAGAAAAGATAGAAATTTTGACTGAATGCAAGAGTAAAAAAGATGAACATGCAACACATAAAAGCATACCTGCAAAATCTTTTCCAACAAGCACTTGCACATAAGCTCACATCGCTTTCGTACCGATGCAAGCATCATAGGACTTATTCCCACAGCCTTAGCTGATTGTGGCAAAAAATCAAGGGCTAAATTCCGTTTAATAACAATAACAAGAGCTTGATAACTAGGCATCTTCCGTAGCATTTCGACCATTTGCTCAGTCTTCTTTGCTATTTCCAGTGTTACAGAACTACCATCTGTGAACATTTGATTTTGTGAACCCGAAGGTTCCTCAAACCAGAACTCATAGAATGTCTTGCACACAAGATCCTGTGAGCAAGAGAGGATAATTATGTTTGTCAACAAAAAAATGATATTTTTTGAAGAACGGTAAAACTGACAAAAAAAAGCATATGGGCCAACTCATGAGACTCATGAGCAGAGAATGGCCACAAATATCACCTAGAACTCTTACAAATGAAGGCAGATGCATAGGTGCATCAAATGACATATTCACACCGCAAAACAAACTGCTCTAGTTAAAAAGGAAATGTGGATATATCTGTGATGAATGCATCTTAATCCAGCACTTACATAGGTCCATTCTATGATGTCAGAGTGAAAATAGAATACCAATGGGAAACAAAATATGGTATTTTACCGCTGTTATAATAAAAGTACCATACATCCTTTCTTGCCAATACTACCTGAATGCTGGATTCTTCATCGCTAATACGAGAAATAATTTCAATGCAAGCACTGTTGAACTCCGGGAAATTAGCATTAGAAGTACACATATCCCTTATGATCCTGATGGCTCGTTTCCGAACACTCACTCCAGTATCTTTCACTCTCTCAGCTACCTTTCCATAGTACTGATAAGAAAACCAGCAAATGAGGATGTAAACAGAATAGGAAAAGATTGAACACAATGCGTAAGGATGAGAATTTCAATTCCCATTACCCTCAGAGCAACATCAGGATGTGAAGCAATATATCGGCCAACAAGTTCCAGTGCTGCTTCTCGTACAGATATAGCAGAGTCACAAAACCTTCCTTCAACAGCTGTCTGAACTAATTTATCACCCAAAACCTCTGGATCAGCCTCTACAATAATACTAACCTGACCTCAGAATAAAATGAACAGATAAAACAGAGGTCAGTAACTCAAACCAAAAAGGGGAACTTTCTTCCATCAAATATGTGCCATAGAATTTATTATAAAACTTCACTTACTGCACGCAATGCTTTAGCACGAATCACAGGAGAATTCTCCCTTAGACTTCTCTGTAATCAATAAAGTTAATTAAAAAAAGCATAAATAGTCATATACATAATACAAGCAACAAAAGATAGCTAGAATACCAGAAGCATGTCAAGAATTTTGTCAAATCCTCTGGAGAAAGAGCTATTCTGTCCCAGCGCCAATGTTATCTTCTTGACAGAATTTCTTGTCAATAACGATGAAACCATCCCAGAACCACGCACAATTGCTTTAGATTTTATCCGAGCAAGGTAGTGGAGAAACTTCTCCTGACTACTGGGATCGTCTTTGTACCACAGACAAATATAGAACCTGCAAACATCATATTTGTCATGATTGATGAAAATTTGTTTCCCTCGGGAGACCAATGACTCTTAAGATGATTAGTAAATGATGAATGGTGCACGGACTACAGACCATCTAGTAAATATATGCACATCTTCAGCAGATCCAGAATCCTGGAGGTAATTCAATAGCATCTGTTGAACAATCTCCGTTTTTGTAATATCAGTAGTGTCCAAAGATTTTGACTTCTTACGAGTGTGATTACCTTCACCCCTACCCTGGGCCTTGCAGTAAGATTGTAAAAAAAGAAGTTGTTTTCTGCAAAGGCATAGCTGACACAACCAGCTGCTACCAGAAACTTCATGTTCTCTTATTCCCATACAGTCTACATGAAATAATCTCTGACAACCTTCACAGAGGACCAATGGTTTTACGATCCTTGCATCCAAACAAACAGAACATGCATCATTCGGAGGGGAATCGTCATCCTCATCCCCTCCTAGTAACTCCTGTACAATCCAAAAATTTTCGTTCTTACAGAGGACAGCTTCACGTTTTAACCTTGCAGCAATCGTACCAAGAACATCAATGGCAATGGACCGAGCAGCAATATCTTTTGATTTAAGCCCAGCATTGTGCAGCAGTAAGACAGAAAGAACCTGCAAGAAATTTTCTTTAACAAAAAAACGCAGACGCTTAAGAGACTGCTAATTGCATGGATAATACCTCCAGAATATGAGCTGAAGCAGGATATTCTGGCAAATTCAATGTTGCCAGTAGATCGATAACAAGATTTTCCAACATAATTTTGAACTCAGATGCATCCTGATTTTGAGTCTTCGTATTTGCAAATCGCTGAAGCACTCGGCTCCAGAAAAGACAACATGCATCAGTTACTGCCTCTTGGGATTTATGAGGATAACTAGAATCGATTCCAATCTCAAATAATGGATTGCTATCAGGTGCTTCCCTCAAAGAATCAGGAAGGTTCGCACTACAATGAACCAACTGAATCAACAAAGCAGTTATCATTTGAATCTGCCTTTGTTCTTCATCGGCAAGGTGATAAGTTCTAGGAATTCGCTTTGAGAATGGTAATTTCATCAGCAAATGAAGTAATTCATCCATCACATAAACTCGATGTTGAGTATATGAGTAAAATATCTGCCCAGAGATAACTAAAATTAAAACCATTAATAAGTTCAAAGTTTGTATAAAAAGAAACAGAGGTCAAATGTCCATACTCCGCCTATTAGACTGATTGCCTTCAATTGTAAAAGTTGAATGTTATCCACCAATAAAGTGGAAAAGCATGTCTTCACTAGCTGCAAAATGCAACTATCTGATAGGCGTTCTATCATCAGCAAATCCTTCAGAAAACCAATTATGGTGCACAGTTTCTGAAGTATGTTATGTGCTGCAGCAGAAGCCCTAACAAAGGAAATCTTAAATTATCAGTGAAAAGCTCATTGTGTGTTTTGAGTCTTGACAACTAAGTTCTGCTGACTTATTTATACGTACTTGTTTGCTCCTGTTTTTTTCACTTTTACACTCCTAGCAGTACGTCTTTTCTTGCTAGCACTTCCAAAATCCTCATCATAATCATCTTCTTCTTCGTCTGTCAAATGAAACAAGGGAGAGAAATGGAAAAAACTTGTTAGAGATATAGGTAAATGAATTTCCATCTCTGCAAATAGTTATTCTAGTAGTATTGCATTAGCCTTAGGCTCCTGCTTCCACAATAAATCAGCAAACAAAAAAATAACTCGTACACTAGTTCCTAGACGCTGTAACATGGTTAAACATCAAATAGTTTCTAAATTCCCATCAGATCTCCAGTGTCTTTTGCAGATATGAGAAACTACCTTGCAAATTGCCATTATCAGTTGGTCTGTTGGCGGAACGATAAGTTGGATCACAAGCTGACATGACGTCTGCTATTTGTCGCCTAGAGAACTCCACGATTCTTTCAATGATCTAAAATTCAAATCAAGAGAAACACAAGATTGAACATGGTTGGCTGTGCCATCATTAACAGGTAATGAGATAGTGAACCCCAAGGAGGATAAGTTCTGTTCAATGAATTTATTAATGTACTGTTTGACCAGGCTACATACCTCTTCCTTGTAGATTTGCTTTGGCATGCCACTATAAGCCATAATTCCAATAGCTGCATGGATGGACTCAAGTGCTACCGTAATTGCAGACACTACATCCGAATAAGACTGGACAAGATAATAATTTACCAGAATGGAAATCATTACAGGCAGATTATCATAAACAGAAAAAAAACAAAGAATGCACTCAGACAAGTTCATCATGCATGAACTTCATGTATCGAGGACGTGTGAAATAGCTCAACAATTCACACCTCCAATTAAACATAATAGACTGATGTAAAAAACAGAGAACCAAGAAACCAGACAGAGTTATCTTCTGATGACTGGAAATGACCAAAATATAAGCAGGACAGGGAAAAGGGAAATCCAGAAAGCTAACAGCTGTCAGGGTATGAAACAGGATAGCCATGATTGATACTTCCATTATAGAATTGAAGATCACAAACTTACATTTTCAGATTGATTGATGGATAGGCCTTCCGCGCTGTGAATCTGATGATCGAGAATTTTTAACATTCTCTCAAGAACAGCAACAGGAACCAAATGTAGGATTTTGTTAGCTCGGAACGACATAACTTCTTTCACAAGAGTTCTTATGTCGCCTATAGGCAAAAGTAACCATTCTGCTTCACCTTCTTCACGATCATCCATTGGAATTTCTGCTTTCCCACACAAATCCTCAAGTACTTCACAAAATCTTTCTAAGGCGGCATCTGAACAATTTATGCATAAATCTTAAATATCCAGTTAAGATGTAACAAATTGTTAGAAAGCAGAAAGAAAGAAACTAAGGAACCTTTGCGCTCAGTACCATCTGGTTCAGTTGATAACAACGTGTCATCACTTGCTTTCTTCTTGCCTTTTGGTTTTCTAGATGAAGATGTAACAATATCCTGCAAATTCATCTCCATAATTAGGAGCATAACAAGTGAATATATAAAAAATAAAATCAACAAAACTGTGGTGCCAAGTACATGCTCATGCTCATGCTCATGCTCATGCTGAAGCTGAGTTTCCCCTTTGTCTTTCAGGGCTTCACTAATGGAGGATATATTTTGCACGAACAGCTTCCTTTCAGGTACCTTGTTATTAGGTACCATATTATTATACATTTGCTCCTTCACAGGACCTGAGAAACTTAGAAAATTCAATAAATGATAAGCAAGGCAAGTTTAGGATAAAATCATAATTAACGCCTCTACATATTGCTAGATTATATATAAGGTTAAAACCAAGTGATCATCTTCCAGAAAGACAGTTAGAAACAATATTCATGTCAAGCCAACATACACCAAAAAATTTCAGATCAACAGTGAGATCTAGGATTTAACTTTATATAAGAAGGCCAATCAAGGCTACAATTGCCTCCACTGAATTCCACCCTGAATCCAAACTATTCTATTGAAGAATGTCAGTACTAAACATGACGTGTGCAGCATATGAAACCAAAAATAGAGAAGTACATGTATATTCATATATACATGGATACCAAAAAAAATTACCATCTACATTCTAACATGTCTGATTTAACAATAGATTATCCCACTGCTCCCAAGTATAATCATCTAAACTTACTTGAGTTTGTTTCTCTTAGAAACATCACAAGTAACACAGCTTTTGCACAGAAAAGTAATGACAACGTTACCATGCCAATAAATGGATAAGCTGATTTACCAAAGTCATATGGGCCAAAATGAACATTTACAATTCGGTTCAAGTCTCATGATTAAAAGAAGAAAAGCTTTTACAAGATAAAATGATCTCCAAGGCTGCTTTTGTTCTACTACTTCGCTTCTCCACTTTGGGTTCTTATCTTTAACCCTCACATCATGGAAACAGGAGCCAATAATGAAAATGGAGAATGTAAGAGAACGGCCAAGAATAATGTAGCCCTGTAAAAAAATTTCCATAAATACCATAGTTCCATATCTGAATTCCATCCTCTGGGTGTCTTCACGGAAACAATCAAGGGTCTTCACAGAAAGAGCCGCTCTATCCTTTGAGGTAGAGGACAGGTTTGCATACATTCCCCGTCCCTACTTTTGAGTGGGATATATTGGGTTCGTTTGGTTTGGTCCATATATGAATTCCATATGCATGGCTATTTCTCTGAACAATTCCTTGTATCAAAATATAGGAAGAAGACAGAGAAACGAGCTTAAACAGCCTCTGGCTCGAGTAAAAGTATACAACCACAAATTTATACCATTCCAAAACACATGTTTTTGAGAGTGCCAGTCATAATCGTATTAGGTGAACTCTATTCAACAAAGCTGCAAGTCGTTACAGCCATCCAGATTGATCAAGATGCCCCACAAATTTTGTCTGGTAATTCTTCTACCATCTTCCATGCTACTTTGATCTCTCAAATTTCTAGCATATCTTCGAAATCTTTTTTCCTAATTGGCACATTTATCAGTCAAAATTGATGGTCTGTGAACCATCTTATAATCATATTATATCAAATATCGGCCAACTTTTTCTAGGTTTCTTGTTTATCTATCTTACCTCTCATCTAAGTTGCACTCTTTTTCTGAATATGCTCTTCATTGTTTTCCCAACATTAAGTACCAAGTCTACTGATCTAGTATGTAATCACAATAACTCAGAAAATCCTAAGTAAGAAGGGAAGGATCAATTTTAAGTAGCGGTGTTCAGTAAATTTTTACCTTCTATAGCAATTGGAACCACGGCATCCAAAAGTAATTTCAAGTAACAGTTACCACTTATCAACACGTTCTCAAAGAATCCAATATGTTATCTTCCAAATTATGAAACTTCTATTTGAAATATATCCAGTGCAATCTATCAGTATTTACTATTTCGGTTTCAAATAAAGTTAAGACTTAAATTAACACCTAAGCGAGAAAACCAGTGGTGATAATTTCTATACTCGTATACAGGCAATGACAGTACCAAATTTTTTAAGACAAACTGAGAAGTCTCACTGTCCATGTTGACCATTTAAGGACATAACAGAATGCAAAATGGAAGGCATGTGGACTATAGTTAGTAAATGACCAAAAGTAAATCTTCCTTTTTTATACCAACTATTAAAGCATGCTTCAAAGATAACCTAAATAACTAACTTTTATTTAATAGATAAAGTTAATTAAAATGAATTACAGACCGAATAAAAAGTTCATCACCCCTCATTTAATGGTGTATATATAAATAATAAATATAATATATATATACATTGACCTCCCTCAACGACATTCTCGATTACTTCCTCATCAACCCCGCTGCTAGTGGACATGCTCATAACATTAGACAAATGCTGCTAAAGTTTCTAGGTACATCACCAGTTCTGAAGGATCCAACAAAGTTGAATTTACTGACCTGAATTAGTTATCTCAATGTGATTAAAAATGCATTGTTCGTGAAAATATACTATTCAATGCATGTTTTAATTAAAACGTGGGTATATGAATGAATTTTCATCTTATTCCAGTTGCCTCCACTTTGGCTTCCACAGAAGCCTTCAAGATTAGATAATACATTACTTAATATTAATAATATAAATGGATAGCGGATAGATGACAGTTTCTTATCAGTGTGTATCATGATCACCACCTGCTTCCAATTTCAGTTCATAAATAGTATGCCTACCAGTAGAACTTCATTATTAGTTTACAATGGTAAGATGACATCTAGGAGCTGAAAGTTTTTCATGCTACTTTGGTCTAATTCTTGGTTGCTGAGAAAGAAATCCTTCGTGCATCCTAATAATCTTTTCTAGTTAGAAAAGTTCATTTTCCTCAAAATGAAGTTGCTAAACATCTTGGGATGAACAAGGCTGCTAAAAGAAACATTAGAATCAGCTTAACAGGCTTTGTTTACCTGGAGCAATGTGCACAAATGCTTCAGAATTGCATCTAAGAACCTCATTGTAAAGGTCTAGATGTTCTCCATGACCATAAGGTGATTGTCCCACCTCCGCTCTAAGATTCCTGCAAGTAGAATATGATATCTCAAAAACAATTCCACCTGAAGTGACAAAGGTTCATATTTGGATGAAGAATAGATTAAAATAAATTGCAAAATAGAGCCTACATGTTATATTTTGCAGATCTTTCAGAAAACTGACAATATGCGGTTATACCACAGCAAATGAATATAAGATGTTTGAAGAGAGAGAGAATGAATTTTGATAACAATGGTCAACAAATTACCATGTACGTTGAATTTGAATGACCATGCATCTCTTTTGTTGCAAGGCTAGTAGTAAGTTTTACACCATCAATTAGAGCATGTTGATTATTATGCAACTGCTAATATAGAAATGCTGTATAACCAACACCTTGGCATGACAACCCTTACAAATAAATCTCCAGTGCTTACATTCAAATATTAGATTCACATAGCATGCCAAACTATATACGATTTTATAAAAGCATGCAACTTTCTGCAGTAATAGTTTCATAGGTTTTCTTAATAAGAAACTCAGATTCTCCAAACAATTCTCTTACAACCAGCACTACATAATCCATAGTTCCATACGAATAGACTTCGGAAGGAAATCATTGGATGCGACTATTGCAATGGTGCCATTAACTGAGCCACGCAACAGTATAGTATACACCCGCCTTCCATTCTAGACCAGGTTGTTATCAAGAAAGACGCGGATGTAACAAATAGATCCAAGGTGGAATCACCATCTTTGCGAACTCAAATCAGCTGGCCTTAAATAAGAACTGAGACTTCACCACATACCATATTCTTTGGTAAAAACTGGGAGATTACTTCTTACTAACAGTAGCATCATCTTATGCATATCAGTAAGAGTTACAAATAAGATCTAATCTCAGGTAGACCAAAATAATATCAATATAATTTAATATATTCTTTGCTGTTTTATGATTTGATCTCTCTTATTTATATAATTAGTTACCTTATGTGCAAGCTTTATACTAATCTAAGGCCGACAACCATTGTTTAACATGCTTTTAGTTTCTTATCCAGCAAAAATGCAACATAAAATTTTCCTGAAACCTGTTCCTTCACAAATATAGCTACTAAATACTGGTCTAGACTTGACTCCTAGTTCAGATATAAGAATCTTCTTCAGAAAACGCAATGACTTGGAGATTTTTTGTTTAATATGGAGCAACATTGTCAGGTTAAAATGCAAATTTAAATCCCCATCTTACATCACTCTACATGCTGAGCTTCACTTTCAATCCAGAGTACAAATATACAGTAAAATTCTAACATGCCAAATATGAGCAACGGCTTAACAATAACAACAATTCGAGACATTAAAAACCACAATTCAAATAATTCTCAAACTCACAAGTAAGACACATCCGTAGCCTGGAGAAGTTTTGATATCTTGCTAGCCTGATCGGCAATGTCACTACGGTTTAACTGCCTAGCAGAACCAGTAGGCTCGTCAATCAATCGCAAGTCCTGGTCAAGAGCACCGCAGAACACCGGCAACGACGGCAACGGCAAGCACGGAGCTACTTCAGAATGAACAGTGTTGGAGAGACTGATACCTCTAGGTATCCCTTCTCCACCTCCAGCACAAGAATTCGTCATCGAAATCAATCTCTCTGTACAGAGAAATGTGGTAATACTCTCATCAAAGGGTTTAATCGCGTGGAATTAGGGTTTTTTGGTGAAATTTGAGGAAGATTGGAGTTCTTCCGGTGAAAATGAGCCCTGGGGAAGAAATGTTGAATTTGGGGCTAAAGAGCTGACAGTGGGAAGGGAGAGCGTACGGTAAGAAAATATGTACCTTCACGGTCTCACGACTTCGAATATGTCTTTCAAATAAAAATAAAAAAACTATTTTTTATTCTAATTTTTTATTTTAGATTAAATATACAGAGAAATATCTCATTTATCTATATAAATATTTAACAAAAACTCTTAAAAATTATTTTTATGCATTAATTATTGTTTACTATATTCTAAAACATTTGACAAAAATTCTTAAAAACGGTTTTTTTATGCACAACATACTGTTTATTAATGCATATTACTAAAAATTTAAGATTACAAGTAAATTGTGCATAAGTACAACTTATTAAAGCTCCATACTTGAATTCGTATAACTAACTGCAGATAAACATAATTAAATAAAAATAAAAAATCTAAAATATAATTAAGATAATCATTGATAACTAACAGAATACTTAGTTATTGTCCTTATATATTTAATTTGCATACAATTTAATAAAAAAGGGTAAAAAAATTAAATGTTTTTTAAACCGTAGCAATTTGAAAAATGAAATTTATTAAAAATAATTTAAAATAAGTTTTCTATTTTTTATTTTAACCATGTCATCAAAATGATGTGTTATTCACATCACCTCATTGAAGCCAAGCAACCAAAAAAGATAAAGAGGTTAACCGGATTAAAAGGTAACAGGTTATCAGTTGTTATAATTGATAGATTTTTTAAAATACGATGTTCTAATAAACAATAATTTAAAAGTATATTGTTGTAATAAGAAGAAGAAAAAAAGTACAATGATATAATAGTTCTTATGAGAAGCTCATTTATTCCTTTTTATGGGTCTTATGGATTTTTTCAACGTCCAAAATCGATAAATAAAAAAAAAAAAACTAGAAAACGTCATTTCTCACAAACTTCATGTTAAGAACCTAAAGATGATAAGGTTCTTATAAGAACTTTCCACAATTGTAGTTACTACAAACCACTTTACTTTTTACTAACAATAACCTCATATTGGAGATGTTCTAACGATTTTTGGTCTAATAGTATCTGATAATATAAGGTGGCATTTGTTTTTTAAGATATGTTGAAGTCTGAAATCTTATTTCACTTATGATTTATAAGAGGTGGTGCTGAAGTCTGAAATTTGAATCAATTATATTGTTTGTGTTTTGTAAACTGATAAACGTCTGAATTTGTTTAAATTATTTATTTTACCCATTAAAAAAATTATAAGGTTGAATTTATAAATAAATCTATACAATTTCACATATTTATTCATCAACATTACGAAATTTTATATCTAAACATATAATTAACATTCATTTAAACAAAAATATGTCATGAACGGTATTTAACACATTTAAATTCTATTAAAATACATCAATTGTGAGATGTAATGATTGATTTGGTAAGGATCGATTGAGAAAAATGATTGATTAAGGTTAATCGATTGAGATACGTCGTTGTTGATAGTTTGAAGAACAATAAGAGGCAAATAATATGTTGGTTTATCTGTTACCAGATAAAAAGACAATAAGACATAAGTGCATCTGAAAAATTGGAATGAACAAACAATTTGAATGGCCTTACCTCTTAACGACTCATACATAAGAGACTGATAAGAGTTTTTTAATAAAAAATAAAAAACAAAACCCAACATTCATGAATTATCATATAATAAGCAGGGTATCAGATACCAAAGATAGTATACGATAAGACCAACTTAGGGGTCGTTTACCGAAATAGTTACCCGGTAAGCGCTTATTGATAGGAATCAACATTATAATTTATTTTGATGCGTAAGATTCTAGTACATCAAAACATATCGAATGCGATAATTAAATGGGTAAGCGTTTACCTGGGTAAGAGTCGACATCGTCACTTACCGGGTACGACTCTCCATCCTTCTCATTACTCTTACCCGGTACGATTCTTGGCCCTTCTCATGTTCATCCGATGAAGAAATTTATCCGATGAACACTTACCGAATAAGTGTTCAGTAAACGGCCCCTTGCTTACCAAGTACCCTTCTAGTTATACAAAACAAGTTGAGCTCTATAACATCAATGTTTGACTCAGCTCGTTTAAAAGTTCGATAATTTTAAAGTCTAGTTGAACCAAGTCATACGAGCATAGAATTTGTCGGGCAATACATGTTGATATAGATATTAGAATAATTGTTGTTAGCCAGCCTCCAAAACTTGAGCCAATAAACAACATGCTACTCAAGTAGGGGCCATTTATCAAACTCTTACCAGGTAAGTGTTTTCCGGTTGTCACTTACTTTTCACCGGACTATGATGGTAAAGCTGAGAATCTTACCAATAAGAGACATAGCCAAGACTGAGGGGTCGTTTATCAAATACTTACATGTTAACTGCTTACCAGGTGTGACTCACCTTTACAGGTGAACATGACAAAGATCAAAAATCTTACCTCATAAGAGACATAACAAGGACCAAAAATTTAAGTCGATAAGTGCATGAGAAAACTCTTATCCGATAAACGCTTATTGGATCAAAGACACTTGCCAACAATTTATTTTAACAGTCAAGAATGCTATCCAATAAGGTAAGAATGGTGACTCTTGCTGATAAGCACTTATCTGGTAAGTGTTTGTAAACGCCCCTACAAAAATCTTACCCAGTAAATGAGGGAGAATACTCTTACACGATATGTGTTTACCGAATAAATGAATTTTAACAACAATCTGTTTTCATGGCCAAACATGTTACCCCAGAAGGTAAGCAAGGGTTTTGGACCCTTGATCACTTTTTATCCGATCAATGAATTGCATTTTATAAGGGAATTGATCTGGTGTATCTCATTAGTGTCAATCTAGTGGGTTTTCACAATTAGAATTGATCCAAGGGTGGAGATCCCTTCTTACATTTCTCAACATAACTTTCATTCTCACCGAAACCCAACCCATAGATACAAAAAGAATGATCTTGTGAGAATACAAGTTAAGTTGAGAAGCGTAAGAAGGGATATGGACCCTTGATCACTTTAATCGTACCCCCATCCCATGACTTACGCTTCTTACTATAATTGATCTGGTATATCTGGATACATCTCATTAGTATTGATCTTTAATAAGGATTGATACAAGGTTGGAGATCTCTTCTTACCCTTCTCACTAGAAACACAACCCCTAGATACATATGGTAATAGAAAATGTGCACTGAAGTAATATATCTACAAAAACCATTAAGACTTGAAATCAAGAATCCTTACCAGCCAACACTTTCTTGAATCATGTTTTACAGGATGTACAATTGATGAAGTGATTACTTCCAATCAAGTCCATTACGAATCTCGTGGAGTCAGGCATATGCTTCGAGCATTCTTGGATTAGTCTTTGATAACGAGCTTGTCTTATAACTTTATTTTCACTCAGATATCCGACCCAAATGGTATTGTCGAAATCCGTCACGTAACCCGGTTACGTATTAAGAGATTTTCCTATTAATCTTTACATGGGTCATTAATGCTTAAACGGATTAAGATATTTTTCGATCAAACATGTAACCTGGTTACGAGGAGATAAATTCAACTTATTCGGCATATAGAACAAACAACACCTAATCTTAAATCCAAAGAGACTTATTAGTCAAAACGATCTTAATAAAAAAAAAAACAACCCTCAAACAGATAGACGATTAATTATACACCAAACTTTTGTCCGATGACAAAATCTTGAAAATTGAACGATAGACGACAATAGCATCACGTTGATTCTTGGCATTGATTCGTATCTTTCTCGTGTATCCACTCGATAAAATCGCCAAGATTTTTGTGCGAGCGTCCGTGTTCTCTGATACTTCCCGTAACCTTTTCTTTCATATCGAAGGCGTTGGTTGCATATTTTTTGTTGCTAAGCACCTCCTCGACCTTACTTCGTATTTCTCCTCCTCTAACGATACCTGCAGAGGCGAACCCAAAAAAAATTCAATGCCACAATTTGACTACAATCACATTATTAATATAGATCTGTTGGTTGGTTCCTATGTGGGTCCGTCCCTCATACCTGTTTCATCTTTCTTAAGCCGTAGACCCGTCTTCCAGATGTCGCAAATGTAATCTTCGTTATAAAATTGATCGGCAAAGTACGGCCAGCACAAGAACGGGCGTCCATGGGTCACACCCTCTAAAGTTGAGTTCCAACCACAATGGCTCACAAAACAAGCCACCGAAGGATGAGCCAAGACCTTTTGTTGCGGTGCCCAACTCACGATTCTTCCACGAGAGCCGACTCGTTCAATGTATCCATCCGCGTACGTGGTCTCTTTGGTCATACCCGGTCGAACCACCCACAAGAACGGTCTGTTGCAAAGCTCGAGACCAAGTGCCAATTCTTCGAACTGGGTTTGGTTGATTATAGTGAAGCTCCCAAAAGCTATATAAATGACTGAACTGGCTGGCTGTTGATCAAGCCATGCTAAACAGGTCGAGTCTTCTTGCCAGAAGTGGCCGGTTTGGTTAGCCAGCCGGTTGCTAGCTAACAGCGGGCCGATTGGGACCAGCTGTGGGTACAGGCTAAATGCTGCAGGCTCGAGCTCGGTGGCTGAGTTGCATATAAACCATTCGGTCAATCTAGCAGCCTCTACGGCTTCTACGACCAATCGAAAAAATGCTTTTGCGGTGCCCGAGTCCTCAAAGCACGTCCATGCGAGGTTTGTGGATCGTAAAGGTGGCATGGTTTCGGAAAGCCGAATCGTCTGATCTTGTAACGGCATGCCTACGATAAAAAAATCGATATACTTAACAAGCTTCCTAGTGTCTTAAAACCGGACTAACCTGAACGAACCCGATATATCCATAGAGAGACATGTATGATTTGAACAGGATCACTACAACAAAATTGATTTCATAGGACGCCTAAAATGTAGAAGCATCCTAAAAAAATATTATATAAGACATAAGTTTATAGGAACAAACCAAAAAAACATCATATCTAAAAATGTTATAATATATTTATAAAACGCTTTTAGACGTTTTAACGACACTTTTTAAAATAAAATGTCTTATTAATTATTTTATACGACACTATTCGTAAAAACGTCCTATAAAAAGATGGGTTTATAGGAGGACAATTCTCAAAAGTGTTTTTTAAAATAGCCAATAAAAAAAATTGTTAAAACGCCTAAAAATTATATTGTTAAACCCAAAAAATAAATATTTCGCTATTATACGTAAATTAAATTATAATAAAAAAAATGAATTAAAGAAATTGTATAAAAAAATAAAAACTTTTAAATAGTTAATTTGATATTAATATCGATATATTTTTTCAAATTTTTATATCTTCAAATACATTTTTATTCAAAAGTAAAATCATTATCTTTTTATTAAAACTATATAAACCGTACTATATCAATAGAGACACAAAATAAAACGAAACATTAAAGGGAAAATGTATCTCGCTACTTCGCGCGAGTACTGTTTTAGTATATATATATATATATAGGGTTGGGTTCACATGAGACCAGACTGTTTTCGTGAGACCCCTGAGACTATATTTTTACACTTGAAACTTCACAGCAAAAACACTGTGAAGGTTTAAAAAAGTCGAACCTTCACAGCAAAAACACTGTGAAGGCTACCTTCACAGCATTTTGCTGTGAAGTTTCAAGTGTAAAAAACTGGTGTCACGGGTCTCACGAAAACAATCTGGTCTCACATGAACCAACCCTATATATATATATATATATATATATATATATATATATATATATATATATATATGTCTCACCATCGTTGTCCATAACTCCATCATCAATCAATTTCTGAAAAGAAAACATGGAGGCCAATGTAGCAACTGATGCAGGCCAAAAAGCTGCTCTTCTAATTCCCATCTTCTTGGCAACTCTTATCGCCCACCCCATGCTATCATCAGCAATAACACAACTAACTTTGCTGCCATCTTCTTCATTGATCTTCTCTATGAGTTCTTCCAGCTTATCTGCCATGGATTCCAGTAGTGATATGGTCAGCTTACACAGATCAGTCCTGTCCTCCCATGGTTCTAACCCATCAGGGATCCAAACCATCTTCATCAGACCCCCGAACCCATCTTGGTCTAACCCATTTCCGATCACGAGCTTGTGGGTGACCTCCGTGTTCACGAATGTAACCTTCACACCTTTCCCGACTAACCGTTGAGCTAGCTCCATTGTAGGCATCACATGGCCTTGCGCCGGATACGGTATGACTAGAACATGAGGTTTTGCCATGGGTTTGAACCGTAACCAAAATGAGCTCGTATATGAATAAGATGTACGCAGACCTGACCGACCTTAAAGAGGAGAGCAGTTGTTTCAGTGATGACCCTGATTAGTGAAATATGTGGGAAGGGAAGAAAAATAGAAAAGGAAGATTCTAAGAAGTTTGACCTAGAACCAAAACAAGCCCGGTATCTGGGTAAGAAGCGTGCAGATATGACCTCTACCGTAAAAAGGAGAGCAGTTGTTTCAACGATGATGACCCTGGCTGATGAAATGTGTGAGGAAGGAAGAAGAAAAACAGAAATAGAAGATTCTAAGAAATTTGACCCAAAACCAAAACAAACCTGTTATATGGGTAAGATGTACGCAGACCTGACATTTACCATAAAGAGTAGAGCAGTAGTTGTTTCAGTGATGACCCCCTGGGCTAATGAAATGTGTGGGAAAAGAAGAAGAAAAACAGAAATAGGAGATTCTAAGAAGTTTGACCCAAAACCAAAACAAACACAATATATAGGTAAGATGTACACATACTTGACCTTTATCCTAAAGAGCAGAGCAGTTGTTTCAGTGATGACAACCCGACTAGTGAATTGTGTGGGAAAGGAAGAACAAGAGAAATGGGAGATTCTAAGAAGTTTGAACCAAAACAAGCCTGGTATCTAGGTAAGATGTACGCAGATGATCTGACCTGTACCCCAAAAAATAGAACAGATGTTTTAGTGATAATCTTTGACCAGTGAAAATGCGTTGGAAAAAGGAGAAAAACAGAAATGTGAGCTTCTAAGAAGTGTTGGTGGTTATCATGCTTGATTTGAGTACCCTTTTATAGACATAAACGGCTTAGATGTACGAGCTCTATTTGTTCGCAAAATTTCTAGATTTTTATTATTTTCATGTTTTTGGGTTGTTTCGCGTTTTAATTTCCGTTATGAGGTGGTATCCAATTTTGTCTCCTCTCTTGGTGTCTTGATTCCATGTTATTTATTTTTCGGTCCCATGACATATCTTGAAATAGACAGATTCTTTGGTTAAATGACCTTATAATTAGGGGTGTAAATGACGTGAGTCGAGCTCGAGTATTAATATACTCGACTTGAACTCGATAACCATTACTTAAGTTCGAACTCGACTCGAAAAATCGTGAGTAGTTAAAAACCAAACTCGACTCGAACTCGATTGCAGTTTTTTAAGGTCAAACTTTTACTCGAATCAAGCTCACGCGTCGAAATTTGTGAAAATTTTGGATCTTCTCATATAAATTATAAAATTTAAAAGTTGTTTTCTTTAATTTTAAAAAAACTAAAATGATCCACCTCAAACTTTATTATCAAATAGACAAAGTTACAAACTTCATTCACCCTCCTCTCTTTTACTATCTCTCTTCCAATGTGGGACAATTTCATCAACACTTCTATAGTTTTTTTGCCTTTTTTAATTATGATAAAAAAATTTGATTAGTTTTTGTATTTAAAATTGCACAATATTATTTAAATATCTAAAAATATAAGACATTTTTATTACATTATATTATAAAATTGGATATATTTTTAAAACTAATTATAGATAAAAAAAAAATCTAGTATCTCACGAGCTTTTCGAGTCGAGTTGGATAGCTCGACTCGACTCGTTAATATATCGAGTCGAGTTCGAGTTTGAGTCGAGCCATTCCGAGTCGAGTGTTGACCGAGTCGATATTGAGTAGTTTCCGAGTTGTCTCGTGTCGTTTACACCCCTACTTATGACTGGACTTTTTTGAATCCATGACTCTATGACACTGCTTAATAAAAAATCACTTTCATATATAAAAATGTTTGAAAACCCGTCACAACGTCATGAATTTAAAAAAGTACTTGTGAGAAGGTCATTTAACTAATAAGTTAAAAGAGTAAATTACGATTTTCGTCCATATGGTTTAGAAATTGTGATTTTCGTTCTTATAGTTTGCAATTTATTGCTATGGACTAACGAACTCCTACCTTTAATGTACAAAGGACGAAAATAGTACAGAATTATAAACCACAGGGACCGAAAAAACAAATAAATCGTAAATCATAAGAAAGAAAATAACAACGGATTGTAAACTATAGGGACAAAATTCGCAATTTTTAACAAATCACAGGGACGAAAAACGTAATTTATGCGTATTTTTATTTTATTTTTGAGGCATGTATAGTTTGGAGAATATGAGCCATAGGGTTTTATTGTGATTGAACATTTTCATATGCAAGGATATTGATTGATATAGTTAATCAGTGTACGTCATGATAGCTTTAAGGTGTGTTGGCGACATTTAAGTGGGGCCATGTTTAGCCTTCAAATTTGCTGGGAATTAGTCGGGCTTTGGCCCGGACACCCTTACAAAAAAAAAAGATGTGTCTCTGACGCCTTGTTAACCTGTAGCTAGGGTTGTGAACAAATTGAACGTAGCTTAGGGGGTGTTTGACAATTGCTGAATGGATGAATACAAAAAACTCCGTTCGTTTGCAGTTCGTATTTGTTCGGTTAAATAAAATAAACAAACACAAACAACTTGTTCGTCTTCGTTCGGTTCGTTTCCAGCCCAACCCGTAACGGTTGTGTAAATCGTAAATCGGGGATAAACAAGAGTGTACCATGTGTCTCGGATATTCACAAGATAATTCATTATGAATGGGAGAAATATTCACGCCCATTATTCATGATAAATGGAGGAACATGTGATGCTCTCGTTTGTCTTTTGATTAACAACGTCACAACCGAACCCCCCCCCCCTTCTCCCTCTCTATATATGTGTGTGTGTGTGTGTGTGCGTCTCTGTGTGTGTGTATATGCATAATATGATATAATATAATACGCAAACTTGTTGTCTTAGGCTAGGTTGTGGCCTTGCTGACAGACAACTTGTCATGTCCGGTCATGTTGTCTTGTTCTGTCTAGTTATGTCATGTCCAGTCCAATTATATATGAGTGCCAAACGGTTACCTAAGGCTTGAGCCATTGAGCTACGTGCTTCTCAACATTTGGATCCTGACTCTTGTACCATGAAGTTTTCAGATAAATTCTGTTGTAATTCTCACAAAAAAACAAACGAGTATAAATAATACAACATAGATAACATATAAAGCAGTATCCAACAATACATATACCAATAGAATACGTTAAAAAAAAGATATTATAACCCCACAAAATCATAGATAATATTTTATATATCGATTCGACAGTTTTCATAATTATCGTATACAAAAAAGAGAACTTCCCAGAAGGCCGTATAATAATTCAATTTTTGTGCCATCACCAACAGATAAGGAACTTGTGAACAGCAGTATCTTTAAAAGCCAACTGTCTACGGACCACGTTGGAATTATTGCTTTTGGTTATAGCATCTTTGGTAAATCAATCCTCACATTTTGAAGCTATAAAAGGATAAAGTGTTCAACGGTTTATATTTAATATTTTTTTATGGAACTGATTCGATCTAATTATCTGTTGGATGTTGGATTTTTATGGCCACCTAATTTGTATCAAATGACTTTTTGCATGGGTTATTAACTTATACCATAAGTCACTTGACCAACAAATTTTAAAAATTTAAGCTCTTTTTTTACACATTTTTGTCCGGAATCCCATAACTTTGATACTGTAAGTCAACTTTTGCTTACAGTGTTAGAGGTTATTTGTTTACCTCTTAATAATTGCATTAAGAGGCAACATCTCGTTCTAAAACCCTATGAATAATTTTGAATCATGGGTCTTCTTTGACCACTAAGCGTCCTAATTTCATTGTAAACAATTACCAAATAATTATATTTCATTTTGCACTATATAATAAGAACCTTTTAATCTTCCATACCAAATCATTCAACAACTGTCAAACAACCCCTAAGGAAAAAAAATAGTTTGTTGAGTAAAAAAGTCAGATGGGGGAAGAAGTTACCTTTTGAATCCTACAAAGATTTTAGTATGAGAAAAATTAGCTCAAATGACCATCTCCCTCATCCAAATTGGTTTTCTAACTATTTCTCTTCCGAGTTGACCCAAATGTCACTACTTCTATAATTTTCAGGTCCGCAATATTGCGGAAGTAGTGACATTTGGGTCAACCCGAGAAAGAAATGGTTAGAAAGCTAATTTGAATGAGGAAAATGGTCATTTAACTCACAGACTCTTTTAATATTTATAATTTATTTATCATGTTAATTAATTAATAACTAAAATACATTAAAATAAGTTTTTTTTTACAAATTAAAAAGTTAAAAATATAATTACTTTTAAAAATATTTAATAGTGTACTCATTTAGAAGGTATTAACGAGACTTTTCTAACGGTATAATTTATAAAAAAAAACTACTTATTCTTAATATATTTTAATTAATAATTTATTAATATGATAATGTTAGAAAATGAAAAGAAAAGAAAAATATTATAAATACCAGAATCGTTGAAGTTTCAAAGTGTAACTTATATCTAGCAGTAGTTACCTACCACGTAAACGACAAAACCGTATTTTTTTTTCCCTTGTGGTTTTTTACAGTTGGATCCTATCAGAAACTGCCGACACTGCAAAGAAGCTTTCTTTGCAGTGTAAAAAATTACAGGATTTCAGATAAAATATGTAAAAAAAAGGTTAAGTGGCTAAATTTTAAAAAGTTATTGGTCAAATGACAATATTGATTATGACAAATTTCATGAAAAAATAACACACTTTAACTTGATTTCTATTTTGGGTAACGTACTTTTAAAACTTCAATTTTGGTATCTAACATGTAAAATTTTAAACATTTAATTAACTGGTTACCATGCTGATGTGATGAATGATGTGGTATCTAACTCAGTATTATTTGTTGATATGGATATCTTAATCTAAAATTAGTTTTTATGTATTGTGGATTAGAAGAAATAGTTGATGCTTCAACCGGTTACCTGAGTACTTAAATGTTTAAAACTTTACATCTTAGGTACCAAAACGGAAGTTTTAAAAGTACGTTACCCAAAATAAAAATCAAATTAAAATACATTACTTTTTCATA